ATTGACATTGGAATGGCTCAGAGCTTTCAAGTATGCTATTTGCGCATTTTCCTTTTGGAGTAGAACCTTCTTCAGAACTTCAGTCAACGTTGGCGGCTTCGTAACAGGTGGAGCAGGTTGTGGTGAGGTAGCGTCAGGGTTGACAATTTCTTCACCTTTAGTGGATATAGTAGGCGCAGGAGACGGGGTGCCAACGAGGTTTGTATGCGGGTCAGCCGCGAGATCCATCTCATTGAGGCGTTCAGTTGTTGCAGAAACTGAGGCAGGTAAGGATGCGTTGCCATCCTCCATGATGACGTCCTCTTCCATGGGATTAGGTGAGCCAGCACGAGATGACAGTGGGGAGTTACCAGACAGAACAGACGACATAACGAAATCAATGATTGATTGTAACAGTAAAAAATGCAGTAAAAAGGGGGTTAAAAAAGCAGGTAGAATACTGTTAAAATCCTTCTTTATTTGAAATTAGGATAATGTGCAATAAAATGTATATTCTACGTCTCTATTTATATTATTTGGTTTATATCTCTTATCTGGCAGCAGTTTAGTAGTTGCCAGTGATTCCATTACTTTATATATTTTTGTTGGGTCATTTAGTTGTTGATCTGATGGATCAAGAACGGTATTTCAATATATGGTTTTTGAATCATGCGTAAAGAATAGCTCTTTATTGTTGAGCCTGTATCCTTTTTAGGTATATTTATGTTACAACACATTACAATACCCTTGACATTTACTTTAGTATCTGTCATCTCTTATTTTAGAGCATTTAACCCTTGCTATCATCATGCTAATACTATTATTATGCATGCCTATCTGCTGATGGTAGCATGGTTTGATTGAGATGACATTTATTTTGGGTTTTGTTTATGATGGGAATCTAGTCTAGTTCACTTCAGTGTTCCCACTAAGACGTTGCTCCAATATCATTATTCTACGACATATTTTAGTTTTATATGATTCTAATTTTTTTTACCTATGAGGACCTGAATGTACAAAATGTTTTTTGAAAAAAAAAACGTGCTCCTATTGCAGTAAAAAAGGGGGTTAAAAAAGCAGGTAGAATACTGTTAAAATCCTTCTTTATTTGAAATTGGGATAATGTGCAATAAAATGTATATTCTACGTCTCTATTTATATCATTTGGTTTATATCTCTTATCTGGCAGCAGTTTAGTAGTTGCCAGTGATTCCATTACTTTATATATTTTTGTTGGATCATTTAGTTGTTGATCTGATGGATCAAGAACGGTATTTCAATATATGGTTTTTGAATCATGCGTAAAGAATAGCTCTTTATTGTTGAGCCTGTATCCTTTTTAGGTATATTTATGTTACAACACATTACAACACCCTTGACATCTACTTTAGTATCTGTCATCTCTTATTTTAGAGCATTTAACCCTTGCTATCATCATGCTAATACTATTATTATGTATGCTTATCTGCTGATGGTAGCATGGTTTGATTGAGATGACATTTATTTTGGGCTTTGTTTATGATGAGAATCTAGTCTAGTTCACTTCACCTATACCAATTTACAGCGAGAAAACCGACGATGTAATTGTATTTTAGATTGGATGAGTTATTGCCCAAGAAATATATAATTTTCAAAATAAGCCAGCTTGGAGTGATGAGGCTCACATAAAAACCTGTTGACTAGGAGCAATTACTAGTAATAGATTGATAGTTTTGATGCTGCCAAATGTTTTATTTAAAAATCGCTTGCTGATGAAGCGCTTCACTGTGGTATGGCAAAGGTTTAAAGCTGTGCTGTGCATTTTATGAAAAAGGTGCAACACCTAAAGCTTTCTGTCAAAATCAAACGATGGTAGCATAGTTCGCTTGGTTACAATAAGCATTCGATATGGATATTGCATGTTTTTTCCTCCTAACTACATTATCGCCTACGTTGTTTATCTCACTAATTGGGTTGTTTCAGTGCGTGAAAAAGTTACATAATTTTCAATTTTTTTTCGCTCTTCTCTCAGCTGGTGCAATGCGTTGCCGTCTTCATATATTATTTATTGAGACTCCGATATAAATGATGGCTGTAGCCCAGTGGATAAAGCGTTTCTGTTTTTAATAGGAGATTTCAGATTCAATCCCTAGTATGCGCAACTTTTTTTTGTGTTAGTTTATTTTTGCATGAGACGTTATTACAAATATTGCTGGTAATGGGTATCGTATTCGGTACATCTTTCCTCTTTCTCTGAAATTAGCTACCTACAACTAATTTTGTGATAAAGATATAAGGAGTAAAGTAAATTAGTTACAAGGCAAACTTTATTGAATTTGACAGTTTGCTCCAATATTTATACTGTTCAATTGGTATAACAGTAACAAAAGAGGATGATGAAAATAACTACGACATTGTTTCCATATGTAGTTTTACATTGGAGGCATGCTGCGAGAAGAGTTTACTAAGAAAATATTCTTAATTTACTCCGTATTAAATTAGTCTGGGTTCAATGTTAAATTCTAATACTCCGTAGCGTAATCAGTACACAAGTAAAAACGTATCCTGAGCTTAAAGCGACAATTGTAGCCATGCTGACATATCCGGATACCGCTCAATCTTGTGTAGAATGGTGCTCGTCTGCAAGCATCAGCCGGCAATTAATTCAATTATAAGTAAGATTCAAGGGATCAAAGAATTCTGCTATCCATTACTACCTGGTTAGCCAGTCAAAATCAAGTGCAATCTTAATCAAATTAGATACATTTTATAGTGCTGTATTATTATAGCTGTGTGGTTTCTTTTCTTCTACCCTTAGTATTACAGAAACATGCTGCCTACATATAGCAAAAGTGGCTATTAGGAAGCCAGTACTTTTGTTGAGCCATCTACATCATTGATAAGACTGGATGATAATGCATCCATTATCACAATATAAGATATATTTTCGCATTTTGGGCTTGCAAGGCCAATGAAACACTCTATAAATCACCTATAAATGCAAACCCAACTCTTCTGCGATACTTTACGTCTGTACCAATGAACACAGGTTGTATACGAGTACATAGCATACCTGCGCTGCCTCCAACTACTCAATGCCAAGTGAAATACAGTAAGATTTGGATGCATTTTAGCCCTAGTGTCTCCCGTTAGAAGCCGTCTCAGACTGCCGGAATAGCACCAAATAGTTACTTTCGCATAGCACTAGCTTTTTGACGCCTTTGCTCAACTTTTTTGGGACCTGAAAAACATGGCCAAGGATCGACCAAAAACCATGAGGGGTACCTCATGATTTTCATCAAAAATCAAACGATCGCGTATTTCACCACCAAAATGAACACTTTTACTATGGTAAATACCAATTCAAAATGTTTTTCTAGATCCAACGCAACCCCTGAGGCTGTATTTGTAAGACCTTTATTCGCAAAATCTCAATATTTTTAGCAAAAACCTCATTTCGTATTTTTCAATATTGCTCAATAGTTTTATTCAAGACATGTATGATAGATAGCACCATTGGGTGCGCCTTGAATAGTACTCTGAGGAAGCTTAAAGGCATACGGGATGATCACCACATTTTATATAGTCGAATGTTACAAATTAATTCGATCAAGTCGGAAATGGATCAAATTTAACCAATCCAGAGCAGATTATGAGCCGAAGATACAATACTTTTGGCTACTGCTGCTGTCGAATCAATGCCATGCTTATCCTTACGGTAATACTGCCATTGGAAACTCAAAAGAATGGCACTGGTAAATGGAAAGTAATATAGCCATTTAGTTCTGCTTTGGTCACGCAATCTTATATCTCTCGCATAGACTCAGTCGCTAGATATTACCCATCCAACTCTTATACGATACTGGAAATTGCCCTTCCAGCCTGAGTATCTGTTTTATAATACCTCACCTTTCAATTGTCAAACATTCGAGCAAGGTATGCAACAGCCACTTTAACTTAAACCTTGAAACTCTTAGTTCACAGGCTAACTATATATAAATGCATTCATTCATGCTGATGTGTATCACCATTCGTTCGCTGCGGTAAGATGCAATTAGTAAACCGCAGTCTCTATTGTCACACGCTTTATGGATGGTTGCTATGAACGACACTTGTTGGTCTATAAACGCTTTTGTTCATTGACAATGGCCCTAAAGTACACATTAGTGTATTCAAGTTAAGTATGCCAACATCAAAAGTCTCATCTCATCAAAGACAGACAGCAAATTCTAGTGCTATTCTTACAACATGGTCCAATGTTGTTCAACTCATGTTCGATCTAGCAAGGAACCGAAATAAAGCAATGGTATCAAGATGATAACGTGCCAACTAACCTCATTGCTGTTCTTGTCGACAGCTTTACAAGTAGCGTAAAGAGGGAGAGAAAGAGAAACGTATACGAGTATACATCTGCATCTGTGTCATCAATCTATTATTATCACCATAGGAAGGTCAGTAGTGGACAAGAAAGGTACCACATGTCAGCGGGTTATCCCTTCACCAGCTGACAGCATTTTAGGGGATATTGTGTTCTGACACTCTTTGTGGTGCATGAACAAACTGCATTCTTTTAGATAATCTTTTGTTTATTGTAAAATTGTATCATTTGCGAGTAATATGATGTGGATATTTGTCTACTCCAGTGATGCGGTGTGGATCAAATAGTGTTGACCTTGAAAATGGCAAATGTTTCAGCGCAATATTCAATGTGAGGATGAGATAAGCTTGTCAATTTGAAGTGCTGCTGTTGTTATTGTTGTTGATCCAATTAAGCCCATATTGCCTAATTAGCTATACCACGAAAAAACATGCCGTGCTTCATTGTTCCGTAAAACAAAACATATATTTTTTCGTCGCGCGGGTGACTAAAAATGCGATTATTGTACGACAGCGAAAACTGGCAATGATCATCATGTGTCTCTCATTTTGATAAGGGAAAATTTATTCTTTTTTTTTTTTTTTTTTTTTTTTTTTTAGTTTGTCTATAAATTAGAAAACCTATAGGACCTCTTCCCTATCTCTTCTTTACTTTATTTTTCATTATGAAATATTCAATTTCATCTGCCGTTTTACTGCTCGTTGGTGCTTCATCTGCACTGGCTGCAGTGGCTCCCCATGGAGACTCGCCCCGCAAAGCATACCAAAAGGGTTTGTCTCGCAGTTTTGGACCTGAAGTGCCTTATCGGGAATATACTACGCCTAGTTGGTCTCAGCGCCAAAAAGATTACAGCCAATTTACTATCACTGATCATGCTGAAGACATTGCCGTTGCATTTGCTGAAGCAGAGCTCACCTCCAGCGAATTTGTCGTTACCAGCTCTTACAAGTCTGATCTCAACGGTGTCACCCATGTCTATTTGCGCCAAAAGGTGAACGGACTGGAAGTTCTGAATGGTGATATCAACATCAATGTAGATCGCTTTGGTCAGATCATCTCTTACGGTGACTCATTTGCTAGAGGCATGAGTCTTAGCAACAAACAAGATGCTACACTCTTCACGGTAAGTAAACAAATAAATAACTTGAGCCCCTTGCATGGTTATTTACCCATCTCATGATGATTAGAAGGTGCAAAAAGGTCTTAGAGCCGTTTCAAGTTCATTCACGCAAGTTATCTTTGCTGCATCCAGTCAGCCACAAGAAGAGTCCTCGGAAGATGTCGTTTATCCTATCGTCAATCAACACAAGGACATCATTGATCCCGCTGAAGCCGTCTTATCTCTGATGACATTCGTCAAGTCTTCCTTGCCTGATCCATCTGTGGTTGATTATCTCATCCCTGATAATCTCATCATGGTCAATCACCTGACGAAGCGCGGTGAAGACGAGGAACTGACTCTCCAGTTTGACAACGTGCCCTTTGCTCAATCCCCTGTTGAAGCACGTCAAGCTTACATTCAGAAAGAGAATGGCGATTTGCAGTTGGTCTGGGACTTGCAATATGAGTTGCATGATAATTGGTACAACGGTCATGTGAATGCTCATGATGGCACCATCGTTGGTTTGGTCGATTGGGTTTCAAGTGCAGCCGCTTACAACGTTATTCCATTTGGCTACAACGACCCCAATGACGGCAAGCAACAGCTCATTAAGGATCCTCATGACAAGTGGGCTAGCCCTGACGGCTGGCATGCCCAAGGTGTTCTCTCCAAGGGTGCCAAAACATTCAATGTCACTATCGGCAACAATGCTTACACTCACACCAACCCTGATGGCGGATCTGATTGGCAAAAAAACTATCGCCCCAGCGGCGATGTGGATGACAACGGCGATATCGTATTTGACTATGTCGCCAATTTTGAAAAGGATGAGCCTCAAGACTATGAAGACGCCGCAGTGACCAACCTGTTCTACTGGTGTAATACAGCGCATGATTTCTTCCACAGATACGGTTTTGATGAGAAGGCTGGTAACTTCCAACAAGACAACTTGGGACGTGGACGCAAGAATGACGACGGCGAGGGTGATGCTGTCATTGCCAATGCTCAAGATGGCTCTGGCCGCAACAATGCCAATTTCGCTACTCCCCCTGATGGTAAGCATGGTAAGATGCGCATGTACATTTGGGATCAGACAAAGCCTATGCGCGATGGAGATTTCGAAAGCGGTATTGTCATTCATGAATATACCCACGGTGTGTCGATTCGTCTCACAGGTGGCCCCAAGAACTCCAACTGTCTTGGCTGGGGAGAAGCAGGCGGCATGGGTGAGGGTTGGGGAGACTTCATCGCCACTGTGATTCGCATGCGCGAAGGCTATACGCGCGAGGTCGAGTTTGGCATGGGCGACTACTCCAATGGTGGCGATGGCATTCGTAAATACAAGTACTCTACCTCCAATACTACCAACCCCAGCACTTACCGCATAATGGATCGCTTTGACTACTGGGGCGTGCATGCCAAGGGTGAAGTCTGGGCAGAGATGCTGTATGAAGTTTACTGGAACCTCGTTGATATCTTGGGGTTCACTCCTGAATGGTTCCCTCCTACGCCTTCGGATCCCTACAAGGTTGCTATGGACGACGAAGATCTCGACAAAGTGCGCACTCACATTACATCACATGGTAACACACTTGCTGTGCAACTGGTTATTGATGGTCTCAAGCTGCAGCCTTGTAATCCTACTTTTATCTCTGCTCGTGATGCCATCCTGAAAGCTGAAGAGCAGTTGACTGGTGGCAAGTACTACTGTGACATTTACCGTGCATTCTCCAAGCGTGGTCTTGGCCCTGGTGCTAAGCTTGAAAAGAGAGGATGGATGGAACAGCGTGTTGAAAGCTACAGCCTTCCTTCTCAATGCGAGGAATGAAATGGATAGCATCCATTGATCCGTATATAATGCCAATTTTGTTTTTTGTTTATTATTTTCTAATATATATATATATATATTGTTATCTTTCCTTCATTTTGCCTTTGCATGCTCAAAGACCTGATAATATCTCGCAAAGATCATTCAGTTATATATCAATTTTTCTTTTTATTTACATACACTTTCAATAAATCCATTCTTCACCAAGTATGAATTGCTAGCCCACTACATTAAATGTCAAGGTTTGAACGTGCCAAGAGGCGCCAAGATTACATAGCCAAGTACGCTGTCATTTGGGAGTGGATTTGCTTATAGTTTACCCACTGTCATTTGTGTCCCATTCACCCAGTTCTTTGTCGGACTCTATCACCATGACTGGCGGCATTGTGTTTATGTATTGGTGATGATAATAAACTGGATGCTGGCTGATCTGCGGTGATGAATGTGGAATGTAGTGTACCAAACGATATGGCAGGGCAGAGACGGCACCATGCTGGATGGAATAGGGCGGCTGATCGTGTTGCATAGATGATTGCTGTACTGTGTAAGCCTGCTGTCTCTTCTTTGGCTGCATGGCTAAATCCTCTCGTAGTATCATCGTTCGACCTGGACTCTGCTGTGGATGTCCCAGTTGCTCCAAATAATCTCTCTTCTTTTCAACAGCAGCCATGACGCCTCTTGCAGCACTTGGCTCCATTTCCTCAAAATCCTGCCATATGTAATCCTTCAATTCTCGCGCACCTGGTAAATCCTGGATCATTTTAGCAATGGTTGGATGTTTCAAACCAAAATAATCAGGCCCACTAGCAGAATTGGAGTGATCTCGCTGGCGGATTTCATTTGCTCTACGTACGACCACAGTCCAAGCGCCTGTGGAGGAGTTGGCAACAATAGGCTCATTGGGCTGATCTGCTGCTACCAACTGGAATTTGGGGCCTGCTTCACCGCCGCCGTCAATGATAGTGGCTGTAATAAGCGTGTTTTTGTTTGGATCTATCATGCTCGGATAGACTCTTTGTACAGTGTAGCCCACTGGAAAAATGTACCTCTCATTGTGAAATGCTTCGTGGTCTGTTACTATTCTCCCAAGATGTGTTACTGTCAGTACGCCGATTTGCAGTGGTAGGATGGGATTGCCGTGCTGATCTCTTTGAACGGGCTGTACTCGACGAGTTTTGGCTTTGCTTCTATTGATTCGGGATCTCTTTGGTGGAACAGACGGAACAGTTGCAGTTTCTTCGCTTTTGGTGGTTGCTGAATAGGGCCATGTCACACGCCGTGAAATTTGTGCGGTTGATGTGGTCACTGCAACAAGAGCTATTGCGTATGATTAACGTATGGTAAGCAAGGATAAGGACAAGGATAATATGGATTGGATTTTAAGCAGCTACCTTCGTCGCCACTATAGGATTCATCATTGACAGTGTCTTGATGCAAGCGGGCAATGCCATCCAAGAGTAAACTGGATGCTTCTGTCAATAGCCTGCTACACTGTGTCAATCGAAAAGCACTTACTCTCTTTCAAACATGAGCATTCTGATCTCTTTCTTGGCCCTGATAAATTTTCTTTTCAATGCATTGTTCAGCTACCAAAGTGTGTCAATGATCCGCGTTGATGTTCATGCAGAATTAGCAGCTACTGTACTTGGATCTTTTCTTGCACCAAGGCCCTCAAGTCCTTCTGCTTGGCTGCATGCTGCTTATGAGGCGATGTAGTCATCTTAATGACTCAAATAAGACGAGAAAAAAGGAGACAAAAGAAGAAATAAAAGTCTATTTCATACGAAATGGGATGATGCTGATGAAAGCTAATTTGCCACCCCCTTTATTTCAGGTTAATGTTACACACAGCTTTTGATTAATTAACGCTGAATGGTGGTGGTGGTGGTGGTGGTGGTGGTGGTGGAAGGCTGGTCGTGGTTTATTTTCTTTTTCTGTTTGTACTCTACATCGACATGGATATACTGTTGAAAAAGCAGAACAGAAAGAGCCTGCTGCTATTTAGCATAGCCTGCATTGTATTGCTGTATCTGATAGCACACTTGACACCAAAATCAACGACACTAGATGCAAGTACAGGACCAGCACAAGCAATAGCAGAAAGCCAACTTATTCGCAAGGTGAAGAAGCAAAAGCAGCAGCTGGAACAGGAAACAAGCCTTTTGGAACAACATATACTCAACAAGAGGATCCTGCCCGTCGAATTCCCAGACGCATTTGAATTCCACAGACCCCATGTCAATGAAAAGTTCATCACCTACTTGCCCCACTCTGGATTCCACAATCAACGCATCGAATTAGAAAACGCCCTGCTGCTGGCGTCCTATTTGAACCGCACCCTGCTGCTGCCAAGTGTCTATCTCGGCAATCCAGCTTTTCCATGGCTCAGATTCGACAAGATGTACGAAAGATTGCTACTGCAAACCAAGCAGGGACTTGAGTATTGTAGCCTCATTCGACCCGACGAGCCCTTGCCAACCGAATGCTTGAATTATCCTCGCTGGACGACCGTGCCCTGGACGTTCTTTTATAATTTCGAAAAGCTCAATCAAAAGGTGAGGATTGTGTTCCGGGAAGATCTCAGTTTCGAGTGGATCATGGACAGTTTCAAGCTGAAAATGGACGACATTTACCTGTTCAAGGATTATTCGCCATTTGAATTTCGTGTGTTTGATTTGCCTGAATCCACCACGCCATTGTCTCGGTTTGTCAACAGAATCGACCTCAGCACACTGGAAGCCATTGAGGAGAAGGTCATCCACTTTGGATCTGTGTTTGGGACCTACCGAGTGTTGGCGCAGAGTCAAGAGCACAAGGAGCTGCTGCTGTTCATCAGAGAAAACATGATCTTTACCAATCCGACATTGGTCGACATCACCAGCAGAATCGTGGATCAACTGGGTGGCATTGGGTCATTCGTGGGTGTTCATTTAAGAGTAGGAGACGGGCTATTCAAGGTCAGGGCGTCTATTAACGTGGACGACATATTCCACGCATTAGTAAACGAGTACACTGATCTGACACTGAAAGAGCTGCAAGATATCTATGATGTACACCATGACCAAGATCGCAAGGAGAACAGTGAATACGAGATTAGACAGCTCCGTGATTCCCATCAGCAGCAGCAAGTGACGTTTGAGCAACCGATCCATGTACAGCATCCCTCGGATATTCAGGCAAAGCTCGCTGCCAGCGGCGATGGTAGTGGTGCATCTAAACTGCCCATGTGTCAGGACAGAAAAAACGATCGATTCAGCGGTACAACCCTATACATAGCAACGGATTGTCCTGATCCTAGGAACCATCCGCTGTTACGCAAGATATTCGATACATTTCCTTGCGTTTTTGTGCTCTCTGATTTCAAAAATGAGCTAGCTGATCTGGACAAGATTCAAGTCATCGAGGAAAAGGTCAAGTTGACTTCCTACCTGATCCCCATGGTGGACGCCATGATCGCCTCTCAGGGACATTCATTCCACGGCACAAATGCAAGCACGTTTTCCACTTATATCGAGCGTCAGCTACATCCTGTCTACACGCATCAGACAATGGAATTGCAAGGTGCACCTCAGCCCTAAAGAGACCCCCCTCACAAAAGACTCAAACCGATCGATATTACCCAAACATGGAAATTAGAACGTCTGAATATTTTTTTTACATTTTGATCGATCGAACCACACCCACCCTTCTATATATATAAAATGGAATTTTTGTAATTGTCCTGCCAATTTCTCTTTTTTCCTCTTGTAAATAATTTATTTGTCATTTTGCAGAACCCATCATTTTATGAAGCCATTTACACTCTCATAGGCCTCTTTCTTTCTTTTTACTCTTAAACATCTCTCTTTTACTCTTTCTTTCTTTTTCTTTTTTTTTCTCTTTCTTTTTTTGAAACAAGAAAGCACATTTCGTAAAACTGCAAAGCATTCGTTATAACAAACGGTCCCGCGACCAGGTGGATTCGATACCTGCAGACCATCAACAGCAGCAACTCAAGAAGCAGAAGCAAACAACACACTATCTATCAGAGCCTTTTCAGGTTGTCGAGGCATTGACCAAGTGCCCACAGTGCCATGGAAAACTCAACAAACCAACAACGCTGCCTTGTGGATTCACAGTGTGTATTAATTGTATCCCAGATGAATCTGTCTGTATTGCACCTCAGTGCGATCGCATCCATACAACAGTTCTCCAGCCTAACGTCACTATCCAAGCAATGCAAGCGATCGTCGTCTCGTTTGAAGCATCGCACTCACTGGACGCATTACGCCAAAGCTTGAGTGTGCCAACCGAATGTCCCATTTGCTGCACTCGATTCACCAATGCGACAACGACACCCTGCGGACATGTATTTTGCAGAAACTGCCTCGTTCGCTCGTTGGATCACCAACGCTCCTGTCCATTCTGCAGAGATAACTTAGAATTCTGCCCGCCACCAACGAAAATCCTCGTTGATTTATTATCACAGCTCTACGCCATGGACGATGAAACAGATGATGCATTGGATCTTGATCCCAATTTCGAATCAGAGCACAGAGTGCCTCTACTCATTGGCAGCATGTCATTTCCTCACGTCAATTGCGCCATCCACGTTTTCGAGCCTAGATACCGTCTCATGTTACGTAGAATCATGGCATCCAGCCGAAGACGATTTGCAATGTGTTTGGCCCGCAGAAAGCGAAACGAAGGCGACCCGCCATTTTTCGAGTACGGCACTATTTTGGAATTAATGCACGTTCAAACCTTATCAGATGGCAGATCGATTGTGGAGGCTGTTGGATCTCATAGATTTAGAGTTACAAACTTTGAATTGACAGATGGCTATCATATGGCTGACATTGAAAGAATCGACGACATTGACAGAGAGCAAGAACACATGCTGGAACAACAGCAAATTCTTAGGGCCAGTGCATTGAGAGTGCGTCAAGCTCAACAACAACAAGCTCCCCCACAACCACAGCCCCAGCCTCGTCCTACAGCAGCAGCTCCTCAACCCATGTCGGCAAGACCTAGATCCATGATGCCTGCTCGTCCCATGTCTGCCAGTATGACTCGTCCTATGGCGAGACCCATGATGGCAAGATCTCCTGTCAGCATGCAAAGACCACCTCAGCAACAACAACAACAACAACAACAACAACAACAACCACAAATAATGGGCCCGCGCCAATCTTGGGCACAACAAGCACATCCTCAAACCCAATCACAAGTCAGTAGAGCTCCCTGGCAGCAAATGCATGTTCAAGGCCTATCTGCTGCTCGGCCTAAGCCTCATATGGTGTCTCAGCAACCGCAACAACCATCACCACAGCAACAATCAGTAGTGATTCCCGAAAAGGTGATCAAGAACCGCCAAGAACAATCTACTGACGAGATCCTGGATGAATTAGCTACATTCATTGAAAAGCTGACGAGACACAAAAGTCAAAATCCTGGCGATGGCATGTCCACTTGGTTAGGCGCCTTGGGAGATCCCCCTACGCTGCGAGGTCCTCAACGTGATCGAGTCATCTTTACTTGGTGGATCGTGAATTTCATGCCATTGGGCGAGGAAGAAAAGTATCCCTTGTTGGCCATGCGTACCATTCGTGAAAGAGTCTTGACGATCGTCTCTTGGGTGGATCGATTCGAAGATCAATGGTCCTTGTTCTTGAACAACCCAGGATCTTCCTCATCATCAAATCCAGCTTAACCTTCTGTCTTTTGTTGTATTTCTTAGTTATCATTATTTATTCATATTCATTCATTTCTACATATTTGTTTATTATTATGCTTTTGTACTATATTGCTATCACTAATCTATACTCCCCCTATATCGCCTCCTATTGATCTCCCCTATACCTTTTCATCATGACACATATTTCCTCATCTTCTGTTCGTACATCTATATATAAACCCACAATGTATTCTGTCATATACATCACGATTAACATGAGCGCAGAATTATATATGCATGCCATCGTACATTCCTTTTTTTTTTAAAAAAAAATAAAAAATAAAAAAAAAACATTTATGTGATAATATCAATCATATTTTGTGAGCATAGAAAGTGTGAGCATAAGAGTCATAAAAAATCAAGGAGTTTTCCAACAACTGAAAACATAAAGACGGACATAATTCAAAGGGAGGCAACAATGAAACAATAATAAGGAATCGTTTTCATATCAGGGTGGAGCCATGTTGTTGGATTTGTGATATCAAGGCGATCTTCTCCTTTTAGCCATATCAGAAGTGGTCTCTACTGTATCGTCCTGTTTACAAAGAAGGGATCTCAGCACACGATTCTAGAAATCAATAGTAAGCATGGTTAGAATCTTCCATGCAATTTCCCTTTTGGATGTTATCACCGCCTTACTTCTATTTCCAAATCATGAATCCTTTGTCTCAATTTATCCACTTCATCTTCTTCAGTATTGGGTGTATTGCTAAAGGGCAGTATGAATGGCAAAGGGGTTGTTGGTGAATTTGTGCCACTGTAAGAGATTGCAGAAGTGACAGGAGTCGTATTGGGCTTGGAAAGAAAGGGCGACGGCAAGGTCTTACTGCTGTTGCTGGACAACTGCCATTGAGATGTCGATGATGAGGATATGGCTGACGGTAGGCTCGGCGATACAGCGACTCTCCTAATTGGAGTGAACTTCATGCCGTTACTATTGCTACTCTTAAGACAAGCGGATCCTCCCTCCGTCTTGCGATGTCGATTAAGGGCATCTAGTCTGCTGAATGATCGTTGACATACAGAACATTGATAAGGCCTTTCACCTGTATGCAATTTTTGATGTCTTTTCAAATCATGCAAACGTAGAAACTGCTTCTTACAATCAGAACACTGTTGTTGGTGGTGAATGTAAGTCACTGTGATAGATCTGTTGCAAGCATTGCCACTTGAATTACCTTACCTGATATGGCTTTGAGGCTGAATGTGTCGCTCTGTGCGACTTTAGGTTATGAGCCCGATTGAAATTTTGGCCACACTCAATGCATGTATATAGCTTGTCTGTTTCCTCGTTTGACGTTGAAGGCTTTATCGAAAATTGACTGACAAGCGATCCGAAATGATGAGCCGTCGTGGTAGTTGGACTAATTGGCGTTGGTAATTTGTGCTGTAATTGAATGCTATTCAAGTTGTGATCAATAACTTGATTGCCAGAAGAGGGTGCTGATGATATTGACAGCGAGAGGAATCGTTGCCGATGATAATGATCGTCGTCGTTGTTGTTGGCGTTGTTGGCGTTTGGTTCGCTCATGGATATAATGCAGAAAAAAAAAAGAGAAATGAAAGGAGAACAAGAAAGAGAGGCAAGTAAAAAAAAAAAAAAAAAAAAGAAAATACAAAATATATATAAAAAGAAGAGAGAGAGAGAAAAAGAGAAAGAGAGGCAGTGGATATGGTGTGAATGATTGCTTGGGTCAAATTACTCCATTTATACAAAACGACATGGCTGAAAAAAATAATAAAATTTTGTTGTAGTACTTCCATATATACATCATTGCTTCAGCCATGATTCATTATCAATATACTATAGCCATAGTACAGGCACCCACGCACCACAGATCCACAGCAAGCCCTGTATAATACGTCTTCATGTAGTTGATGAGACAGCAGCTATGCGAATTATGCACTTGAATAGCATACCTTGATCATTTGCGTTGCTTGTTGGCTATAGTCAACCCAAGCCAGTTCCTAATATGTGTATGGCTTGTGGAATAAATACCAGACACAATGACTATTCTACCTATACTACAAGAGCATATCATTCTTTTGCACCAAAAAAAAAATGACATATGCTGTCCATGACACAGCTGTCGGTTCACTTCATAGCAATGTGCAGGACACGCAGCGAAAAAAAAAAGCAATAGAAAGAATTCTCCAACATTTGTTGTGAGATGTACATCTACTACGCATCGAAAAAAAAATTTTTTGAAGGCATCATGAGAAACTCTAAAACCTGATGTTTGCAAGACTACTATACACAAAACCTACGCTATCCACGCAAATGCGCATGATATCCTCTCATTTTCCATGTGGCTAAAAAAAAAAAAATTAAGATTTGCTTTACACAATAGATCTACTTTTAGATTACATCCGATCGGCAGTATCTTGAGGTATGGAAGCGAACGAATTAGTTTGTAGAGGACAATTGAAGTGAACTATAAAGCGGGCGTTTCTTTAGTTTGACCGTCCAAATGTAATGCTTTTCATTAGTATTATAATCTTTCCAGGATATTAAGCATCTTTGAGGAAACCAATTCGTTTAAACTTCAAGACATACACTTTAGCTTTTTTCAAGATGGTCAATCACTACACGCGAGATCTTTACATTGACATTTAAGTGGTGCATTTTACTACTATATACTAGAATTCTATTTTTTTGACCTTCGTTGCAATAAAGGATTTTCTGTAAACGATCTATAACTGTGAATCTTGTTCTGCTGCGACGCCCCACATGTTAATCATTGAGAAAAGCTCATGTTAGGCAGATAGCATACTTGCATTATCCCTTACTGCTCAAATATGTGTAAAATAAAGCAAAATTGGATGCATTTGAGCCGTGTTTTCTCGTGTCAGACACCGTTTTAGACCGCCAGAATGGCACCAAACAATTACTCTCAACTTGCACTTACTTTCTGATACCTTTGCTCAACTTTTTTGGGATCGTCAAAAATCGACCAAAAATCGACCTCCAAAAACCGTGAAGGCTTTTCTATGGCATATATATTAGATCGAAATGTTTCTATCGTTTCAAGGCAACCCCTGAAGCATTATTTTTGAAACTTTTACATGTAGGATTTCAGCATTTTTATCAAAACACTCATTTTATATTTTGGCAATTTGCTCAATAAGTTAATTAATAATATGGGTTTTATTTGGTACCATTGGATGCGCCTTGAGAAGTTTTTTTTTTGTAGGGGAGACGAGCTCCAGGTTTTATTTCAAGTCCTTTAAATGTCATACTGAGTGATAGAAAAGACTGTTAGTGGACCCAATGTCAGTCATGATGGGGAAAGAAATCTACTACAAATAAGGTGCGGCACTTAGAGCCAATACAATCATGCTAAGTTGTCACACAGAGATACGGGATAAGAGAACCTTCACCAAACGAGGACATCAGTACGACCGTAAATAATTAATCAAAATGTGTTCACTGGGATTTGAACCGGGATCATCCAGATGGCATGCTGGATGCTTAATCACTTCGCCCTACCACCACGGGCACAGTATTAGGGAGTACGAGCTGATCATCACAAGTTACATAGTCGAATCTTGCAAAATTGATCGATCAAGTCGCAAATGGATCAGATATCAACGAATCGGGTCAATATGGCGAGCGGAGATTAAAACAAATTTTGGCTTCTGCTAGATTCAATACTATGCTTGCCGTGAAGGTAGTTGGTGCTGCTGAAAGCTTCTAATAGAATGATGTTGCAAATCAAAAAGTGCTATGGCTCAGGCTAATTGTCTTTTCTGCTTCTTTGCACATTTACTTAGTTGATCTATATAAAAAGTATGAAACGCATTTTGAAATGCCAATGCCAATGCCAAAGCAACATTGCCCACCCTATTTGAGATTCCACACTGCTAGTGTAAGCCCTAGTGTTTATTACCCAATATGTTAGACGGAGAAAAAGCCTGTTTTGGACTTTCAATCTTTTCTCAACTGCTCTTTTGTTTTATTTTCATAAAGCCATCAATTACTTTAGCAAGGGGTGTATACATTTGCCATTGCTTACTGAATCAAGAACTCAATGCTTCGATTCGTAAAAAATATCTCAAGTAAGTCGCCCTGTCAATGGTAATGGGAAAAGTCTTAATCATTCAATTATTTTGGCAGAGGCAGCAACAGATTCTTTCAAAGTTGTATCCACAAGATTAAAGACAATGAGCAGCACTAATAAGACCACAACTGTACACCATCAAGCGGAAATCGGAAAAAACGAATACATCCATAGAGTCAAAATTCTCAATCTGCCTCCACATGAGATAAATTCTACCAAACGGCTGTTACAAAGCCATGGAATACACAAATTCAAAAAGGCACCAAAATGGGAATATGCTTTTCTCAATTGTGAAGTAAGCGATACAGTATCTGGATCCAGCCTCGCTCAAGAAACTAACTTGTATGTGTGTAGACTGAGGAAGCTGCGCGATTAGCCATGTCAAAATTAGAAGGCGTGGAATTCAAAAAGAAGACTCTCGTAACCGAATATTCAAAAGTGTCAGAAAAGGCATTTCGATCGAGATTTGAGACAAAGAAGAAGAAAGCCGAAGACATTGTTGAGATTGATACTAGGACACCCACAGAAAAGTTGGCAGATCAAGTTACGCCCCTCTACAAGTAAAACTACAAAAGCTCGATGAGATGGCATGTTGTTAACGGTTCTCTATAGAGTGCCATACCACGATCAAGTAGCCAAGAAGCATAAATTAGGAGCACGGTACCTGAATACCCTTAGAAAGAAGGTGCATGCGCTTCCAGAAATCAACGACGCAGGAAAAGAGCAAATTGCCTGGACAAATACACTGTGAGTCATATTCAAGCATTATGCAACCGTGCAGCTCATGTGTCAGCTCAATAGAGAAGGAATGGATTGTGAGATTTTAGATACGATTCAGTCGCCAGACATCAACGGCTATAGAACGAAATGCGAGTTCACGATTGGCAAGAATTTAGAAGGCAAAGAAACAGTCGGCTTTCTATTGGGATTATACAGAGATGGCATTACCGCCGTAGTAAGCTCTGATGAATGCTTGCATCTGCCTGAAAAAGCAAAGGAGATAGCCAAGACAATGGAGGTATGTCATTGAAGAATACTGCATGGACAATTGCTTATGCTGATTCCTCTGGAAGAACTACATCAGAGAGTCAGATTACGATGTTTATGATCGAGTTGAAAAAGTAGGCGTATGGCGATCCATCATGACAAGGACACAAAGAACCGGCGATAGTAAATATTCCCACTTCCAGAATATGAATGTGTTCACTGATGTGGTTGCCATGTAGTCATGATTTTAATACAAATGAACACCAAAGAGTTAAGCGATGAACAAGTAATGGCGGAAAAGAAGAAATTGGTTGATTATTGGGACAAGAGTGGCATCAATGCGACAACCTTGATGTTACAGATATGGAATGGAGATTCTAATGGTATTACAGATAAAGGTACAACAGAGATTTTGACAGGTGATGGGTACGTATACGAAGAGATTCTGGGCTGTAGATTCCGTATCTCCAGTAGTGCCTTCTTCCAAGTTAATACGCCCGCTACAGAACTATTGTACTCCAAATGTGCAGAATGGAGCAATATCAATGAGAACAAGAAAACAACCTTGCTGGATCTCTGTTGTGGAACAGGCACCATTGGTATCACTATGGCAACCAAAGTGGATAGAGTGGTCGGTATAGAAATGATCCCTGAAGCCATTGTGGATGCTAAAGCCAACGCCTTGATGAATAGTAAGCACCCTTCAGATATGCTGTGTTTCATGTGCTGATATATCTAAAATAGACATCATAAATGTCCAATATTATGCTAGCAAAGTGGAGGAAAAGATTGACATTGTCGCTAACGAAAAGAACGAAGAGGTAGTTGCCATTTTGGATCCACCGAGAAATGGAGTGCATACATCTGTCATTCGTGCTGTTAGAGAGTCTGAGCAAATTCAAAAAGTGATTTTCATCAGTTGCGATGCTAAACAAGCCATGCAAAACTTTATTGGGTATGTGATAATGGCACTTTTTTTTTTTTTTTTTGACACGGTTGGATGCTAACATTTTATGAAAGATTGTGTCGACCTACATCCAACAGATTCAAAGGGCTGCCGTTCAAGCCATCTCGAGCAGTGTCTATTGACTTGTTTCCGCATACAGATCACTGCGAGTTGATGATTGAATTTGTGCGAATCAATCAAGGCACCACAGAAATCAACGTTTGAAACGAGTTTGTGTAGCTAATTTTTGCACTCATTCACGTCACCCTACTCTATATTGTAATATACAAAGAACAACGCAGGAGCAACCCTTTTTTACAAAGTTGCTTTCCCTTTCTTTTTTTTATACCTTCTTTTCCTCTCTTTCTTTCACTTTGGAAAAACAATAATAAAAAAGCCAGAACACAAATGTCTGAGGATATTGCTGGATCTTCATTTCTTGGAACAAGTACCAACTTCTTTTTACCCGAATCCAGGACAATGTCTTTTGCAGTAGATGAGGAAGACCCTTGGAGCGCTGCGGGATTTGACCCCGTAAACGATATGAGGCAGCCTTTAACACAAAGCCAGACCATGGACGAACAGTTGGTGACTGAAGGTATCACTGCTGCGAATGTGTTGGGTATGTTCTTGCTTGCATTCTCGTTGAAACACTGTGTAGTAAACTGTCTTCGTATTTAGTCGGAGTCGATCTACCTGAAGTGTTCGATACTGCTTACATTCGTGCGGGACCTGTTGGAGATCGAGTGAGCGTAGAAGCATTGGAAGTGATCATCGGGCTAGGAGGACTTGGGCCGCGTGTATTTGAACAAGTAGGTAATACTTACATGATGGCTTCGAGTTCATTCAAGTTGATTCTCGTGTAGATTGCTGCTTTGATTGTGCCTTCAAATGCCATGTATGTGACAAGAAATGAATTCAATACTGGGTTGGCTTTGCTTGGATTTGCTCAGAAGAATATGGGTATGTGCACAGTAGCATGGCGATGTTTATTGATGACCTGATAAATTAAAATGTGGATCTATTAGAGCTGTCTCTGTTGAAAGTATACCAGCACAGAAATGGTAAGACATCCACTGTATCGAGAGGCACGGGCACTAACATTCTCTCATGGCAGATTTACCGATTCCACTATTATCAAACCTCAACAACGTATCAATAAAGCGGTCCAATCCCCTTATGGCGTCCAACACTAAATCTAAACGTCGACAAAGCTTCGACGATGATCCATGGAGGATTGCATCAACACCGCCTGCCGCAAACAATGGATTTCCTTATCAGGTGAATGACAGTATCGACGTTGCTATTGCCGGAAGAAACACAAATGACCCCACTGTTCTGACTTCAACTGGGCTTGATACTAGCAACCAAACATCTGACAATGATACAACGACAGCCTCAGCGGCAAAGACAACAGTACCCAAGCGATTTGTGCCTGTGGATGTTATCACGGACAAAGCATCGACTCAGGCATTAGTGAAAGCATCTACCGAAAGTTACCAATGGTTTCTGGACCTAGATCAAATTACTGTAACTGTCGCAGAAAAGGAAGGCTTCTTATTCACACACATTAATTACTGGGTCCACAGCAATCAACGTCAAACATCCGTAAGACGACGATACAGTGATTTCTACTGGTTTTGGGAAACTCTGTTGAAACGCTATCCCTTTAGAGTTATTCCAAATCTGCCACCTAAAAAGATTTCAGGAAGTAGGTCAATTTGAGAATCTGTTAATGCGGTATACTCATATCAATTGAATGTAGAGGACAAAGCATTTCTTGAAAAGAGATGTCAAGGCTTATCACGTTTTATAAATTGTATTGTGCGACATCCTGTGTTGAAAAATGACGAAGAAGTAATCACATTTTTAACAGAGCAAACGGTAATGCAACACATTTCTCTCCTACTTGTATAACTATTAATTTATTTGAAATGAACCACAGGAGTTCCTAGCTTGGAGAAGAGCTAAATTGCCCAACTTGGAGGAAGAATTTGTACGAGTTAACCCGCAGACGGAAGAACTGGAGACATTTATACCTAAGGATTTGGACTCTCGCATTGAGCAAATCAAGAGCAGTTTGCCCAGCTCCATTGAAAAGTACGATACCTTATGCTCTGTTATGGAAAAGACAATCCGACTGAAAGAGGCGAGAGCTATAGAGATGAGGCTATATAATGATACCTTGAAGTAAGTGGACCATGCTTTCAGTTTATGCACTTGTATTCAAATGTCAACCAGGGAACTGAGAGACGTTGAGCATCAATGCTTTGTACCCAACTGTCAAGCATGTGGACAAGTGGTTCGTGGCTATGAAAACGTCGGCACCTACCTAAGTAATGACAGTTCGATTATCGAGGCTGAAACTGCCTCTGCCATCACTGGTGTGCTTGAAAACTTGAAGAGACATCGAGACATATCGGGATCCTTTTTAGAAATGTTGGATCGAAAGTCCAAATTAGATGCAAACCAGATCAGTGCTCTCTACAAAAAGATAGCTGCAAATACAGCCAGAGTAAATCAAAATAGAGGAGTTCCTGGATTGGAGTCTGAAGTAGAGCGCTTAGATACCACCATCAAAGCAGTAAGTATTATGCTTAAACTGCACATATATGGGGTCACTCAATGAACGAGCACATAGGATACCGAAAAAATGATTTACCAGCAGAGAAGAGATACCTATATCCGCTATTGTTTAGCAAGCGAGTTATCTTATTTGCATAAGCAGCAGGCATTTGTTTCATTGCTCTATCAGAACTATGTTCATGAGCAATTGCAATATGCTCGTAGAACTGTTGACAACTGGAAAGCATTGGAGGCCCTTTTGTGCGAATTGCCAAAACCAGAAGACTTTTCTTGATCTACTTAATTTTGATGACCACATAAGATACATATATACCCACTTTGTGAAAAAAAAAGAATGACACCATGAATAAATTCAACATGTAACTTTTCGATAACAATGTCTTAGTTTTGAGACAATTCTTGAGCTTTTAAACATCCAAATGTAGACTTCACATCAGGCCAGATCAGATCCATTATTACATCAGGCACACAATCAGATAGGAAAGATCGAGAGAAGATGAACAATTGAATATATATTACATTTTTAATCGAGGAAAATAGAATAAAGAATCTGTGAAATAAAGAAAACAGAATAAAAAAAAAAGTCAACAAAATAGAGGCAAATCGTCATATTAAAACAAAGGATCTTGGGAAAAAATCGTTCTAAATAACATCTTCATTGTACATTTTTTTGTGTATTTTCTCTATTTGCATTGAATATTATATAATTTAATAGAAACCCTTGGCATGGTTATCACAGACATCACGGAGCTTGGTCTCGAGCTCCTTGGAGAGGACACCCTTGGCACGGATTTCTTCGAGGATATCGCTGTGTTGAGTAGCGACGTGGCTAATGAAGTCCTTTTCCCAATCAACGACCTTGTTAACGGGGATCTTATCGAGATAACCGTTGACACCAGCAAAGATGATAGGAACTTGAGCTTGGATAGACAAGGGAGAGTATTGAGGTTGCTTCAACAATTCAGTGAGACGGGCACCACGGTTCAACAAGAATTGAGTGGAGGCATCCAAATCAGAACCGAATTGGGCGAAAGCGGCAACTTCACGATATTGGGCCAAGAAAAGCTTCATGGAACCAGCAACTTGCTTCATGGCCTTGGTTTGAGCAGCGGAACCGACACGAGAGACGGAAAGACCAACGTTAATAGCAGGACGGATACCCTTGAAGAAGAGTTCGGCTTCCAAGAAAATTTGACCATCAGTAATGGAGATAACGTTAGTGGGAATATAAGCAGAGACATCACCACCTTGGGTTTCAATGATGGGAAGAGCGGTCATGGAACCGTAACCGAAGCTCTTGTTCATCTTGGCAGCACGTTCCAAAAGACGAGAGTGAAGATAGAAGACATCACCAGGGTAAGCTTCACGACCGGGAGGACGACGAAGCAAGAGAGACATTTGACGGTAAGCAACAGCTTGCTTGGACAAATCGTCATAGATGATCAAGGAGTGGCGACCGTTGTCACGGAACCATTCACCAAAGGCAGCACCAGAGAAAGGAGCAAGGTATTGGAGAGGAGCAGCTTCAGAAGCAGTGGCAGCAACGACAATGGTGTACTTCATGGCATCTAATTCAGTCTGTCAATACATATGATCAATCTCTCATTCAACACATTTTATACATACCGTTCTCTTCAAGAGTTCTGACGAGTTGAGCAACAGTAGAACGCTTTTGACCGACGGCAACGTAGATACAGTACAACTTCTTGGCTTCATCAGAACCGTTGTTCCAGTTCTTTTGGTTCAAGATGGTATCGAGAGCGACGGCAGTCTTACCAGTTTGACGATCACCAATAATCAATTCACGTTGACCACGACCGATAGGGACCATGGAATCAACAGACTTGATACCAGTTTGCATAGGCTCGTTAACAGAGTGACGAGGCAAAATACCAGGAGCCTTGACTTGGACACGAGAACGGCCAACAGTGTCAAGAGGACCCTTACCATCAATGGGGTTACCGAGAGCATCAACAACACGACCGAGGATACCAGGACCAATTGGGACATCGACAATGGCACCAGTACGCTTGACAGTATCACCTTCCTTGATCAAACGATCGTTACCGAAAACGACAATACCGACGTTATCAGCTTCCAAGTTAAGGGCCATACCCTGCATTCAGTGTATTAGAGCCAATGTATGACGAATTGATGGAATAGAATGAACTCACCTTAAGACCGCTAGAGAACTCAACCATCTCTTCGGCTTGACAGTTCTTGAGACCGTAAACACGGGCAATACCATCACCAATGGACAAGACACGACCAGTCTCTTGGAGGTCAACTTCAGAGTTGGCACCCAAGATACGTTGTTCAAGGATGGAAGAGACTTCAGAAGTGGAAGGCTTGGCAGAAGCGTAGGTACGAGCAATGGTAGCAACAGCACCAAGGTTGAGACGGGCCTACATTTTGAATGTATATGATCGATTTCATTAATAAGATGAGTTCCACTTTTTTTTTTTTTGCAATCATCTAAATGAAATTTCTAAATTATATATTTACAGCAGGTAAAACACCACGAGTGAGTGCAGGACGAGCAATACGAGCAACGTTTCTAAGCATATTGAGAGGGGTGATTTTTTAAAAAGGTAAAAAAGAAAATAAAGCTGGTATATGTATGGTCTTATTTAGCACCAAGATGAAATATAATGCCAGGATGGACTTCTTTTTTATGTTTTTGTAGCTGTTTGCTCAGGCACAGGATTGAATTTTCACCTCCCCCATCCCAGGGCATCAAACATTGGGGTTTTCTTCTTACGTCACTCAAAGGAAAGCTAAGGGCACTTCCTATGATACTCAGTGGTGAGTATTTCTAAATCAAAATTGATCTAAGCTTCTCGAAAGGAATGCCATCAATTGCATATTTTCTGCAGACAAACGCATTCCTCTTCTTAATCCTTTTCATCCACATTTCAGCTAGGTAAGTTCTCTCCATGTTGCCCAATGTTCATTGATGCAATCATGGATTTGACGAACATCAAAATTGAGATGTCAAAAATCTGGGATCAAATCGTGAAATATGTTGCTATGGGCAATTAGTTGCCATGGCAACCACTATTGATGTATGATATGGATTTATAGCAAACAGAGATTCATCATGCTTTGGATTTCATCCAACTTTTCTTGATTGGCTCTTGATTGAACAACACAACACTGAGATTTAAAGCATTTTTCTCTTTTTTTTCCATTTCGTGTGCTTACACTTTCACTTTTCGACCCACAAACTCAAACAGTACCTCTTTAGGATGAGGTATGTATTCGAGATGAATAATAAGCTGATAATCTAATGACTTTTGATAGTTCTTCTGCTTCCAAAAATAATGGATATGTCTTTGAACAACAGAACGATGTGAGATTAGACGATCTAAGCTCCAAGATTAATGCTATAAAGAACGTAAGATGTAACTGCTGAATAAGTTTTAAAGCGTCCCAATTAAAAGTTTAACGTAGATCACTATTGACATTCACCAAGATGTTACAGATCAAGACAGACTTTTAGATGAGTCGGTAAGTAATTTGCAGGTGCACGCATGAAAGCTTGATGTTAATTGTCTTTCATCAGCATAATCAATTTAGTGGACTTGGCAGTAGTCTTACAAACTCATTCGGGAGAATGAACCGCATGATATCCAAACGCCATCAAAGACAGCTCTGTTTCTATGTGTCGATCTTGGTGTTTTTATTCTTCCTCATTTACTATGGATCACCGCTTGTCAAGGGCTTGTTTTCGAGCAGTGATGAAATTCCTGATGATACCATTACAAAGCCAAACATTGAAGACATGTAGATAACCGCACTACAATAAATCCAGCATGAACATCATTTTGACCCCTTTTTTTAATTTGCAATGAGGTTTGATGTATATCTTGATCCACCAAGCAGACAGGGACCATTGATGTGTCAATTTACAAACGCTTCCACTACAGTAAGACGTACTAGAATTCAAGGATACGTTTGCGCAGCAAGATTTTGTATTACTTTTTACGCAACATCAGGCATATTGATTACTAAAGACAAAATCTCATACATTTACATTTGTCTCTCTGTGGCGACGCAAATAATTGAAGTTTAGCTTGTCATTGCTTTATATTGTTTACATGCATATATGTGGATAATGTTTGCCAATATTAGGCAGTTATTTAACATTGACTACCGGACAAGGCGCAAGGAACCTATGTTCACATTTACAAGCATGCTCATAGAATCCTGAGTGAAGAAGAAGAACGACAGGTCTGAAATCATATCAACGAGGATGCTCGCATTCGACTCAACCCTCAAATGAGATTGGAGCGAACTGTTGGTGAAGATAAACACACTTAGAATATGTCAACTGTCAACGGGATTGCAGCCATCATTCTCAACGAATATTCTGATACATGCTTTAAAGACATATTAATTACATACCAAAATAGACTTTCAGCCAGTGGTAATCGTCTCTTTTAAAAAGAATTAATGAAACGCATACTACCTACATGCCATGTTGAAATGCTGCAAATTATGTTGCGATCACATATATTTTGGTGGTGATCCAGGCTAACTGACGTTGTCAGATATGAAAATACCCAATGAGAGCAAAATAGAGTATTTATGCTAAGCGATAGTGCTTTCAGGTTCATGATCCCCATTCAGTCAGCATCTCAATTGTCATGGTCATCAATCAGAGAGGCATTTGGGTCAACCAGCAGCGCCAAAAAAATTCAAACTCAGGTTTTTTTCTGCTCAAGATTGGCCAGATTTCCTCTTTTTTCGATTTGATTAAATCATTTCGTAAGATTCGACTATATAAATTGTAATGATCATCCGATACCTCCTAATACATTGTTGGAGTACGTTTTAAGGCGCTTCCAATGGTCCCAAGTAAGAACGATACTTTGACTGAACTTATCGAGCAATTTGAGAAAATATGAAATGAGGTTTTTAGCGAAAATAGCCATATTTTGCATATGAAAGCCTCATAAAAGTGGTTTCAGAGGTTACGTTGGATCGAGAGAAACATTTTCATTTGATATGTACCATAGTAAAAGTCTTCATTTTCAAGGTGAAAAATGCGATCGTTTGATTTTCGCAAAAAACCATGAGGTACCCCTCATGCTTTTTGGTCGATTTTGGCCATGTTTTTTAGGTCTTCAAAAAGTTGAGCAATGGCGTCAGAAAGTAACTGCCAGATGAGAGCAATTATTTGGTGCTATTCTGACCATCTAAAACGGCCTTGAACGCAAGAAAACGCAGCTCAAATGCACTCAGATTTTGCTGTATCAGGGACACTAAGGACTAAAAAGGGGAAATATTAGCATGCTGCTTGCTCGTATATGAAGTAGCCATGTGTATATGGATGTAAAGCATCACATAAGAATGAGACTCACAAATAATATGAAGGGTCTTCATGTGTAAGTGGAAGCTCAAAATGAAAGTGTCAGTATTTTGATAAGACACGCAAGGGCAGTCGGTAGCGCAAGCTGCCGCTGCGCCAGTAGGTTCTCACTGAAGCCAAGCAAGGGTAGAGAGCCATCCGAAGCATAAACACTCGTGTTTATAATGATACTATATTCAAGCTGTAACAAACTCGCAACCATCTACCAGCTGTTCCACACCGTTTTAATATGACAAGACTCAATGGCATTAGAAAATCTGGTAATTTGAGGACGGCCTGTTCGCTTTCTTGTCTCCTTAGCCTGATTGATATCAATGTTTCTAGGCTATCCCATTGTAAAATTTACCTTGTTTATGATGAGCGAAGAAATAAGTCAAATTCAGGCTGGAATGTAATCAGTACGTTTTATGCGTAAGGTTTCGATAAACGAACAGTGGTTATATAATTTTCATCTTTGGTTATAAGTTTGTCACAAACTTTGTAGCTACTGTACCTCTGAAAAGGATACCCGTAGCACTTTTTTTATTCAAAATTTTTTTGACGTTATTCTCATCTTGTCTAGCCATCTCAATGATCAGCAGCAGCTTGTTAACACCAATGGTCAACCTTTGATCAATATTGGACTGTTTCAAAATGGACCGAGCTATTCTCTTTTACTCTCATTGAGTAGCTCCTTTTGTTGTAAAAATCGATGCCTTCCAGACCGGTAATGGTAGACATATAAATTTCAACCGAGAGCTCATCCGTCCTATTCATTTGACCCAAAATTTGATGCTGAGTAGTGGTATCCAAAATCAGCAAACAATGGCCTTTTGGTGGCTTCTTTTCACGAACACCAAGAGTGCTTGTACAGGCATCATCCTTGTCCAATCATGATACTTCACTACTTCTTGGTATAATGGGCGTATGGTAGAGTTGGCTGTACATCAAGAGAGCATGCTTTTCAAAGTTTATGTCGAGATGACAAGGAGTCTATTTATCAAAAACTGGGGCACATGCAAATGCAATATGCGTTTACCGAGATCATGTATATGGACGCTTCAATGACTGTCAACATCAACCGTGCTCTATTAAATTTTAATTCTTCGTACATGGCATAAAATTTAAAAAAAAGGGGGTTGCCTGTACGATTTGATGATTTTATTACAATGAATGCATATTTATGCTACTACTCTTCTTGACACACGTGCAAGGCGGTCGATTTTGGTGAAGAATAAACAAAAATTTAGCATTGTCTGATGTTTTTGCAAAATGGATTGCCGTTTCAATAATAGCTTACATGTGTTGTTGTATTACTTCTCGATACAAAACAAGCTCTAATTTATATCTTATTTAGCCATTATACAAGTAAAGGTGCGATTTAGCCTGTGAAAACAAGTCTATTGCATTTGCTGATGATTAATATCTGCCATAGTGATTTAGCATCTAAGAAATACGTTACACATCGATTTTTATGTAATACAATTTATATATTATGAAGTGTTTCCTAGTGATTGTAGGTAATTTTGATTAAAAAGAGAGAGGAGAAGATTCATATTATCCACAATATTATTTGTTTTATTGCCATTAAATTGCTATCAGTGAGATGTGAGAAGATACAGGTCAGCTAATCCGAGATTTCATTGTATGGCAACGTCCATCCCAAATATTACATGCTACTGCCACTGCTGAAATGTGATCAAGAGACCTTCTCTGTATACAATAAATTCATTTGTAGAAGCTTCATTGTAGGCCTTGTTTCTTGCAGTACATGATCATTTTTAGACGATTGCACATGCACATCTAAATTAGATAAAAATGAGTATTTCTACATGTACGCTTTTTTCTATAATCTTAAAATGACACGTATATGCCTTGCATCCTAAGCATGGGATGTAGATGGTATCAAATACGAGAGCATCTTACATCTGGTCAAAAACAAGTGTTGTAAAGCAATATAAATGATAATTTAGTGGTTTGAGGCGGAGAACGGCAATTGTGCAACCTTTCCAAGTTTCCATTTCTTCTCATTTATATATACACATTTATTTTTCTCTTTCACTGATCACTTATCTCCTCTCTTTATCTTTTTTTTTTTCATTATTTGTTATTGAATGCCTCTCTGATAAATCGCATTTACAAGAGCATCTCAAACTAACAATACACTACATCTAATTTCTTTTCTTTTATTTTTTGTATATAACCAAATCTCAACATACCTTAATTTCTCTCCTTTTTATTGTAAATCCTCTTTTTTTTCTCAAACAAAAAAAAAAAAGAAAACTTATATAACCTCTCTTCTTCCTCTTCTTCTTCCTCTTCTTTTTCTCCTTTTCATCTTATCGTATTACTTTTTATCTGAACAAATCACACAAAAAAATTACATAATCCCATCAAATCACAGAAAAAAAAAATCAGACATGGCAACTACAGTTCAACACAATCCAGCTCTTTTGCAACAGCAACAAGCACCAAAACAACAGCAAAATCATCCAGTAGAAGATGAAGATGTGGCATTAGCAAATTACATTTCAACATCTCTAAGATTTGACCAGGTAAATAATAATAACAACTCCTTGCCATCTTCTCCTTCATCATTTGCCTTGCTCTCCTCACTTTTTTTTTTTTTTTTTTTTTTTGCTTGGATAATCCACCTCCCCCCTTCCCCAACCCTTACAATCACTCGATCTTTTTTCGCGCCTTCGCCAAAAATTGGTTGCACAACCTCTATTTTTGGTTATTAGGTTATTTATAAATTTTATGCACTTTTATATTTTATTATGCTTTAATTGGTTAAGATCTCTTTCTCCCTCTTAACTTTAGTAAGCTTAAAACTAATATTAAAAACGTGTTTTGATATAGAATTCGCAAGATCTTTGGAATTACACTCAATCACAGCAATTGGCTATGGCACAAGCGAATCCAATGTACTATAATACAAACTATTTCCAACCACAGTTACCACATCAACAGCAACAGCAACAAACACGGCCGCACAGAACACGTGTTAGAGTACCAAGTAATTCAACACAGGTTTCCAATGGTAGCAAGGGTAGCCATATCCAGGTCCAAAAATCAACATCAACACCAATTACCACAAATCCTTCTGCGCATTTGAGGCCAAATGGGAGAAAGTCTTCATCCAAACCAGCAACAATCTCGCAATCTACAAAATACAACTCTGCTTCATCTATCACATCCTCATCTGTATCATCCTCCTCCTCCTCGTACCCAGTCGATTCATCTTCATCTGTCAAAAACAGCAGACGCCGTAGCATGAACAGTGCAAAGACATTACAGCAACAGTCGCCTCCACAGATCAAACCAGCATCTCAGGAACGCAGACCTTCCATGACAGGATCAGTTGTTTCCAGCTCCGGTGTATCTATTCAATCCGAAATGTCTGTCAATACAAAATTATCATTATCCAAAAGACTTCGAAAAGTGTTTAGTATGAACAACCTTAGATCATCTTCCGATTCATCTGGTGATTTGGCTTCTCTAGCCGAGAGAAATGGATCCAACTCATCAATTGCATCATCCTCTTCCATGGTGGGCTCGCCTTTATCTCAGTCCTCGGTAGACAGTAGAAATCCAATGTCGCTTCGACGCAGATCCATCGCTTCGTTATCTAGTCTATTTCAACGAGGCTCTTCGGTTTCAGACCTAGACACCCAAAAGAAATCACAAATCACCGCTCCACAGCAAGTGTCATCATCATCCTCTACGGCACCAACAAATAATACTGCTTCCAGACGTCATTCTTCAGGAGATTTACGTCAATTGATCAAACAAGAAAAGAAGAAGCCTCAATTGAGGGTTGATACCGACAGCAACGATATAGCTGGCATTCCAACGAGAAAGGGCGGCTTGAAAGGTAATGGTACAAAGCATGTGTTGATGGCATGGCTCTTTTACTCACATTTGTTTACAGTGCGTTCATCTTCATCAACAAGTAATAATAACGTTACCCCTGATTCGCCCAATTCTGCAATTTCATCACGTTCTTCATTTACTCGTTTACCACCTCCTGCTACAACAACAACAACAACAACAACAACAGTGTCTAATAATAATAGTACTAATAATAATAATACCAACACTCAGAGAAACTTCATTCATTTACCAGAACCTGGATTGCCATCTCCAACACCCTCAACCGCATCTTCCATCAAGCACAACGACGAAGAGTATATCAAGCCCACCATTGGTCTGCATTATGGCCTCGGCTTACATGGATCTCCTAAATTACGACCTGCTTCTTCATCCACAAGTTCTCTAGCGGCTACTACCGAAAGAAGAATTCAATTTTGTAGCACAATCCAAGTACATGAAACATTTTCAGCGGCTGATTATGATCGTCGCTGTGATAACAACGCTACTTGTCAGAAATTAACCCCTATGATGGCTATGAAAATCAAACAAGAACTAAATGAATACAAATTAACTGATATGGAAGTACATGTCGAAAGCAGACAATACACCCATTTCTTCTTGTAATCGCCGTCTCAACTAGCCTTCGCACTTCCCTCCCCTTCTTTCTAAAAAGTCACAATAAAACATTGCAAAACCAGGCCCTCCCCATATACACATTTTTCCCTCTTGATAGAGTTTTTTGTATTTCTCTTTTTTCTTATTCTAATAAACACGATTCAAGCAGAAAATGTTCTCAGGTTTATCGAAACGTTCTCTTCAATTATCTCGATGCTCGTCTAGGCTGAATGTAACTATCAGTTTGTGGAAGCACTTCAAATGTCCCTGGATGTGAATTAATTTGACACCCCCATGTAAATTTTATAGGCTGCACGTCAAGCTTCAACAAATGCTAGCAACCACACCGCTTATGAGGAAGCTCTCAAATTGATTCAAATTGACAAGAAGGAGAGACTCAACATGTTGGAGCGTTTAGAGAAGGAAATTACCAGAGTTGCAAAGAGTAAAATACTTGACATGTGGGATGGCATCTGGCATTTACCCTGGCTGACACACTCGTTTCTTTAATCTAGATGCTACACCTGCACAAATCAAGGCACTTGATGCATTAAAGTTTGATTTGCAAGTTAAATCAGAGCTGAACGAACCCGAAGTGCAAAAGAACTTTAAGCTTGGAAAGAGTAATAGCAGCAATCATCGACATTTATCCTGTTGAGTAGTACTAAATGATTTGTATAGTCGATATGGAAAAGCCTGTCTATCGTTACATGCGTCAAAAACAATTTGAAAAGGCACCCAAGAGTAAATTGATGGAACGTTTGACTCAAATGAATGTCATTCCCGATATTTTAGCTCCTGGATTAGAGCCCACAGTGGAAGTCAATGTCAAATTAGCTGAAGGCCAAGTTGAACCCGGTGTATTTCTGAAGCCTGAACAGGTAGCGTATTCTGCTGAAGTAGAGTGATTTGAGATGAGCTGCTTAACAGGTTGATAAATAGAGCATTGAACCCCCTGAAATCGAAATTACAAACTTCCATCCCGAACCCAAATTGTACACTTTAATGTTGGTTGATCCCGATTCACCTGATGTAACTAATCAAACATATCAACAACATTGTCATTGGTTATTGTAAGTTAAATGGATATGTGATGATTGGGATTACGGTTGTTAATACGTTTGTGCTTTAGATCAAATGTGTCTTTATCAGCTGCCTCACCTATTGTCAAGGGTGGTGATTCTGTCTTGGATTATCTTCCTCCTCATCCCCAAAAGGGCACCAAATATCACCGTTATACTGTAATTGCATATGAACAGCCCAACGAAGGTCAAGATAAGGTTGATATTAAGGTGGAGAGCAGAGATCATTTTGACGCAAAGAAATTGGCAGATGCTCATGGTTTGAAGGCTACCGGTGCCACCTTCTTCCGTCAAGAATGGGACGCCACTGTCAGCAAAATCTACAGCGAGATTCTTAAGCAAGATGAACCTATTTACGGCAAACCACCCAAGCAACAACGTTATATTCAAAGAACTGTGTATTATTAGTATAGAAAAAAACAAATGCATCAATAAAAAAAAAAGAATTCGCTATTTAGAAATTGAGATTGACTGACCCCTTGTCGTTCGCAAAGCACATTAACTTTTCTACTTTTTTTTCATTGTTCAGCATATTCGACATGCTTGTAACGGCTGCTGCAAAGAAGACTGTTCGCCTCAACAACTTGATGCGGAAGGTCTGCCAACCACGATTGAATCATACAATTGCCTCAGATGACCTGATTCATCGAGTGGATTTCAGAGTTGGCAAGATTGTACAAATCGAGCAACATCCTGATGCAGCACACTTGTTTATCGAGCAAGGTGAATAGTTTGATCGCAAGGCCTTGGATGCCATTGAGTCTGATTACTCATCCTTTGTATGTTAGTTGACTTGAATGCAGAGACAACAGAGGCTATGCCAAATCCTCGTACCATTGTGAGTGGGCTTGCACCCTTCATGCCAATAGAGTCACTCTTGGTAAGCTGGACAGAATGTTGCATAAAAGAAGAGTTACTTACTCGATTATTCAACTTTCAGAACAGAAATGTGATTGTCGTAAGCAATTTGAAGCCTAGCAAATTTAGAGGTGTCTTGTCGCAAGGTATGCTGCTCGCCGCGGCCACTGCTGACAGTAAAACAGTGCGATTACTATCGCCACCAACAGACAGCATCATTGGTGAACGAGTTGCTTTAGAGGGCGTGGATTGGCAAGGACAGACTGACGCTGTATTAAAGCCAAAACAAAAAGTCTTTGAACAGGTAGCCTCGTTTCTCAAGACTGATGCTAGTGGTATAGCCACCTACAAAGGAATTGCGTTGAACACATCGGCTGGCCCTGTTATTTGTGAATTGTCAGATGCTCAGATATCTTGATGTATGGGCTGTTTTTGTTTGTTACTATCTTGATGTCTTTGCTATGTTGCTGATATATTAAAGCGGTGCAGAATAAAAATGAAGACAATTGTTATTGCAAGCTCGCTGTGCATGAACATGTCATTTGCATCAGAAATATATCAGAAATGTATGCAAAATGGCGTATTTTGGTAGTTCTCGAGATTGCCTAATGCTTTAAATTACATCAACGCATTCTCCCTGGATAGTATTATCATTAGTTTGCATTTTTACAGATTTTGAGGATGGGTAATTCTTGATCAAAATTTCATGATTTTCCATGAGGGATACCTCATGAATTTGTATCAATTGCACGCTTTGCTGGTCAAAGTAAATACAGGACTTGTGTAAGATATACAGCGACTTTTTTTTTTTTTTGAGATATTGCCATTGCAAAAGACACCTTCATGAGGCAAAACTCTCCCAAAAAAGTATTTGCGCTAGGCAATTGTCCTTTCAATTCCATGATCCCATCTAATCAGCATTGCAATCATCATTGTCATCAACAGAAAGGCATTTAGGTCAGCCAGCAGCAATGCCGCCACCAGAATCAATTAAAGCTCAGCTATTTTTTTTTTTTTGTTTAAGATTGGATAGATTTCGTTTTTTTTCGACTTCTTTAATCTATTTTATGAAATCTGACTATAAAAATTGTGATGATCACCCTACGCTTCTTAATACATTCCTGAAGTACTTTTCAAGGCGCTTCCAATGGTGTTAACTGTAATAAGTGTTTTGACTGAACTTATTGAGCAATTTAATAAAATTTGAAATGAGGTTTTTAGCGAAAATAGCTATATTTTGCATATGAAAACCTCGTAAAAGTGGTTTCAGAGGTTACGTTGGATCGAGAGAAACATTTTGATTTGATATGTACCATAGTAAAAGTCTTCATTTTCAAGGTGAAAAACGCAATCGTTTGATTTTTGATGAAAACTATGAGGTACCCTTCATGGTTTTTGGACGATTTTTGATCATATTTTTTGGATCCCCAAAAAATTGAGCAAAGGTGTCAGAAAGTTACTACTACTCAAGTGCAATTGTTTGGTGTCATTCCAGCGGCTCATCAACGCCTACATGTCAAGATAGGAAGGCTTGAAAACTGTCAAATTTAGTTATGTATTGCTTTATAGAGTTTAATTTACACAGCTTAAATCACATCTTTAGTAGCTGCAATTTACTGAAAAGGCAGTTCTGAGGCTTGAGCAATTTTTAATTCGAATAGAAGGAACATTGATTTTGGTAAAGCTGATTCATGCAAATTTTGATGCGCTATGTTGCTGGTAAGCTTATTAATAAAGGAAATGAGAAATCGAATTTGCTGCTTAGATACTATGGCTTTGCATATCCGCTTCGCTACAACCAAGCCCTCGTATAGATCAATACTGCTATCAAATGCTGGATTGGATGCTTAGTTGTCATAAATTTGCACCTTTGCTTCGCTGCGATTAAGCCCTCATATAGATCAATGTTACCAAGTGTTGGATTAGACGCCTTATTATCATGGCTTTGCATCTTTGCTTCGCTACGGTAAAACCTTTCCCCATTGCCGGCTTTGCCAGTGGTTTTATTTACCTTGTATGGCACACAATTCTTTAAGGATATGATCAGCTTGTCTACTTTTTTTTTTTTGAATGCATTACAGTATAGATAGTGAAGATGCCTACAAGAATTTTACTTTAATCCATGTTGCCTTTTGCATCACCGTCGCATTGCGGCATCAGCGCACATAAATAGCAGGTTTATAGTTTTATTAAGAAATAATCAACAAGAGCATAAGGGTATTTATACGAAATACAATGGTTTAGACTGTAGGAAAGTTTCTTCTGTTCAACAAAACTGCCTTGAGACTACGAATATCACTCTTTAACCCTGACACAGCGGGCGAATCTGAAGAAGTGTTGCGCATGTAATGGCTAGGAGAGTAACCGGAATATGTGTTATCGGATGTAGGTGAGGTGATGATATTTCTAAAGCTTGTCAATTCAGAGCGGAAATTGCTGTACGTCTTGTCCTTCATGGCTGTTGCAATACGCTCACGAGAGGTTTCGAGTAATTTGTCAATCTTGCTGGACATGTCAGAATGATGCTTTACCAAGGCATCCGCAACTGTATTTTCCTCTCCTTGATCTATCAATGCGTCCAAATCGTCATTTTCTGTATTATAGCTTTTGATAGATTTGAGTAGTCGATCCGCAATCTCTTTTCTTTGGTTGTAGCGAGTACGTTGATATTCAGCAATGCGATTGAAAATAGGTGCAATGAAACGCTGATATAGCAAACATCCGTCAATATAGGATTTCCCTAATTAAGTAATTTCACTTACTCTTAAAATACCAACAACACCAGCTGTTAATCCAACAGCTCCCATACCCAAAATGACGGCCATTGCAAACACTTTTTCCACTGGAACAGGAGGATTAGGTGGTTGTGGAAGATATACAATCTGTGGTGCCGAGTAATTCACGTTTCTTGATGGCAGAACAGGTGCTAAATGTTGTTGCTGTTGATATTGTGGTTGAGGGGCCGTAGCAGCAATCTGTTTAGCAGGGTGAAAGATCAGCTTTCATATGTTCTCGGTCTCAAATCACATTAGGAGCTTACATTATTCGCTGCAGTAGTGGTTGTTGTGGTTATGGCAACTGTACTATCGGCTGCTACACCAGCTCTTTTGAATGCCTCAGTAATTTCAGCTTGAGTCAACCCCTTTTTCTGCAAAAATGCAATCTTTTTCTCTCTGTCAGCAGAACGTACATTGGGTGAAGAAAGGAATGATACTGCAGGCTTAATCATATCTTCACGGATAGCAGCTGTAGCTGTTGATTCTGTGGCGGATGATGTGGGCGTAGTTGCAGCAGGAGGGGGAGTAGGTGTTGCAGCCACCTGAGTGCTAGGGGATGCAACTGGTGGTGTCTGATTCAATAGATTATTGAGACTATTGGTGGGTGCAGCTGCTGAGGAAGAAGAAGAAGAAGAAGAAGAAGATGATGATGAATCTGCCATGTTATACTATTTTCACAAGATGAACAGAAAGAGAGGAAAGAGGTGGTTGAATAAATTATAGAAAGAAATATATTACTGATTTCAACTGGGAAAACTGTGGGGATTATATTTTGAGTTTTCACATGCTGACTAAGTTTCAATGGTCAACTTTTGCCGCACTGGTAATTTGGATCCATCTATTTTGTTGCTGGCAAGAGATCTTCAAAGTTCAAGTAATGTTTCAGGATATATTACGAATTACATTTTATTAAAAGTATAGAGTAGAATTGTATAAGGTAAGTTGAGTGATTATTTTTCGTCAATATAAATGATCGAAAAGATATATATATATATATATATTTATATAAAAGGTAAATATATGGCACATAATATTACAATTAAAGAGTCTAAATCCTCCTTTTCTTCCAGCTTCTCAACAGCAGAAACCTTTCTTCACAGATCTTGTGTCACTCGTTAATGAAAAGGAATGGCTTTCATTCATGTCTAGTTCCATTTGAGGCACTTTTACCATTTTTGCTATTTGAGCGAATGCCTTTTCTACGTTATCTCCATTTTTCGCACTTGTCTCAAAACATGGAATCTGCATCCTGTCGCTGGAATGAACTTCGGCCCAAGCTCTGGCTTGTCTTCTTGATACCACTCTATCGTCAATATCAATCTTGTTTCCAATCATAATAAAGGGAAAAATCTTGGCTTCTTCGGCCGGCAATGATGATTGCTTCAAGAAATCCTCCCTCCATCGTTCTGTAAATGCCTCATCAATTGCAAATCCTCGTCATTCGTTCAACCCACAATATACCCACCTAAATGTTGAAAAGACAAAAAGTTGTTAACATCATACACCAAAACACAGGCGTCTGCTCCTCGATAGTAGGCTACACCCAACGACTGAAATCTCTCTTGGCCCGCTGTATCCCAGATTTGAATCGTAACCTTTTTACCATCGTCGGTTTCGACTTCCTTTGTAATGAAATCAGCACCTAATATCTCGATCAGCATGTGCGATTTCAGTGTCGATCCTTCCCCTTACCAATCGTCGCTTTATACGCATTGGTAAATCTTTTGTGGATATACTAAATGTAGATATTAGTATTGATATCATTTGGTGTGGCTGCTTTGTTGAGGTGCTTTTACTTGGTTACGGAGACTCGTCTACAAAGGATGATTTAGTCGAGTATTTTGATAAGCATTTAGCAAAAAAAAAAAAAAAAAAAAAAAAAAATACCTTGCCTACACCGCCATCTCCAATCAATACAACTTTGAGAATATCTTTGTGCATAAATTTTATTTGATTTAGGTATTAAATGTGTTGATACAAGTCTGTATACACAAGAAAGAAGAAATATAAAAGGTGAAAAAGAGGGAAAAATTATATACACAGCGACGGGGAAACAAAACGAATAAAACAATCCAAGATAAACCAGGTGATCTTTTGGATGCAAATGCGTTATGCAGACCTATGATGATAGAAGATGGCGCCTACTTGGAGTTTGCTTCATCGGGAACAGTAACGGTTGTCAGTGAGAGATTTGATTCAGGTACAACAATCACTATGGTATTTGTTTCAATGTCTGCTTCTGCTGTCATGACAGTTTCAGCATCATGATGATCGGTTGCTGTTGCTGGTGCTGCTGCTGCTGCTGCTGCTGCTGCATTTCTGACGATGAATTTTCGGCCATCGCCAATAAACAAATAGGCTAATGGTATAAAGCAAAAGAACAGCATACTCAAGATAGTGCACAGCCAAAAGAACCCAATGCTTGCATAGAGATAGCCTGCTATAAGAGGACCCACACACATGCCAACGCCATAGGCAGCATTGAACAATGAATAGCTTCGGGCTAAACCATCCGATGAATTTGAGCTTCCATTCTCCTTGTCCACTACTTTTGCAATTTCTGGGAATACAGGTGCCTGGCATCCGGCAATCGTGATACCGCCCATAATAAGAGTTGGCACCAGTAGCCAGAACGAGCCTCTCTCTTGACTTGGAAATCCAATCAGCAAACACGATGGTGTTGCCAACAGCAATGACACAAGCGCAACTATTTTAGTGCCATAACGATCGCATAGCCAACCACAAACAATACTGGCAATGATGGAAGGAATCATGTAGGCTAAAACAATCAGGCTGCAGCCTGCTGCATTGAAGCCCCATTCTTGAGCTAAGCGCATGGATAGAGTTGGCTATGACAAGTGTTTGGTATACAGTGAGATAGTGCAATAACTTTATCCAAATGTCAATATTACCTCAAAGGCACTCATCACAGTGGCTACAATGGCTGTTAGTGCAAGCGATACGATAAGCCTTGGTTGTTTTAGCAATTGCACCCAGGTTACACGACTTGTGCCAGGTTCAGGGCTATTTTGAAGATCATCGTCAACCGTCTTGGTGCGTTTCTCTGTATCTTTTTGCAAATCTTGATCGTAAAACCATTCCTTTGGCGCACTGGAACGCTCAATGATAACTAGGCGCATCAGTAAATCAATGGCACTGAGGATCATGGAAGCTATGAATGGCGCTCCATGGCCTAATTCGCTGTACAATACTATAGGATGGATAGAGTTAGATAAACGGTCTTGTCAATGACGCTGTACAATTCATATTTACATCCTAGTGAAGGATCAGGTTAGTTTGTGTGCATAACGGTGTATCGCATAGTAACCTACCTCCTGCGGGTAGTCCAACCATCATTCCTAATGGATAGAACCCAACCAGTTTGCCCATCTGCACACCTAGCTGATCTTTTGGCCAGTTGTCAGCTATTAAACAGAGGCACATGGTCCAGACACATGCATTGGAGACGCCTTGTAGAAAGCGAGCAATGAGCAGCATGGGATAAGTAGTAGATAGCATGAATAGCAGATTGGCAGCCATCGAGGCTATGGTTCCTAGGAGCATTGGCAATCTTCTTTGTTTGATTCTATCCCCCAACCATCCAAATAACGGTGATCCAGCTATTGCAATGTTAGAGCATGGTTTCGTTATATATATATATATGCGTGCCTTACATAACAAGCCTACTGCATACAGAGCAACCAGAATGCCAGTGTCCCTGGATGTCATCTCGATATTCGCTGTAATGGCAGTTGACTTTGAGTGATCCGCCCAGTCTTTATCAAGATTTCTAATGCGGGCCACGATAAATGGTGATAGTGGAAATAAGATGGAGTGTACAAATGTCTAGATAAATAATCTGCATCAGTACACACAAAGTACAATGCGAGATCACGTTAACATACACTGGTAAACAGGCCAACTGCAGCTGTCCAAAATACAAAGATTTTGCTTGATCTATATTTGAATAAGAATGGCAGTTTGTATTTTTGAACAGTCGCTGTAGATGAGGGCACAGATGATGTGATTGTGTCTGTCCTCACGGATAGTGATACATGTGGATGAAGCGGCACCATAGTGGAGATGAAAAGGCAGATGATTACTATTGACAACCAAATGTGCCGCTTGTATTTATACAGAATGGCGACAGATCACCTGTATTGACTAGAGGGGGTGTTTAGCAAACTGTTGCATTAGCATGGCATACTCTCTTTCCCTTTGACTGAATGTCAGGGGGGGGGGTCCTTTATTTCATTCTATAAATATATATATATATATATATACAATCTATTTGAGCAAAACCATGACAAGCTCATAAACATAAAATGTCACTGCATTGACTGGAAATCCTCTTATCAAGGTCGGCCACAGCCCTCTAAAGAAGACACCCGCTCCTTCTGCCTTGTAGGACCGCACAACACAGTCTTTGATCGATGCATAGGGACGATCTAGCAAAATTCTTGTATTTTCATTGTGTTGCTTGTGTTGCATCTGTAGTCGTGATTTGACAACGTCGATAGGATAGATGGATGCCCATGAGACGGTACCCGCTACGCCTCCTGCCAACAGGAGTTTCCATGCATCACCTCCCGGATTTACTTGCAATACTCGTTTCATACTCTCATATGCCCAAAAGTAAATACCGTAGCTAGGTGCATCTCGAATCATGGTAATAACACCACCTTGATAAAAACCTGTGTTTTTCATGTACAGACTATCAGAACATTTCTGCTTGGGTTTCCCGTAACTTGATTTCCTCTACCTCTTAATCCGTTTCTTGCATAAATCTCCTTGGCTACTTCCACTGTGGTCTTTGGTATCTTGGTCATTTGTGCCTGAATTTTGACTAAATCTGTTGGTGTGGAAAAAAAGAAGCAAGCGACACCGGCGCCAGCTCCTGCCAAGTACACTTGCCATAAGGAAGGCTCAAATGGCCCATTGTCTACTGGGGATGTTGTGTATTGGCGCTCAAAGTATCGAATAATGGATCCATACGAAACAAATAGCAGGGCATTGAGGCCCGCTAATCCAACTACAGGCGATAACACACCTTTGAACATGGAGCCCAGCTAAGTTTATGTCATGTTAGTTTGGAAATCTACATGTCTATCCCTGCTTGCCCTGTAAACGTTACCCCCTCAGTTTGCACCATGTTTCTCAATGTCTGCCATGATCCCATTCGGCTGGCTGGTTCCGACCCAATGGATAATTGACTATGGGTTCTGATAGGTGCTTGTAAGCGTGCCTAATTGTTTTGTATTCCATACTTAAATATCCAGATCTATGTGTGCGTGCAAGAGGAAGTGAAAAAAAAAAAAGTTGTTTGTTTACCTTGAGAACATCGAGTGGACTTCCGACAATGATTCCTGCTGCACCTCCAATCCAACCTACAGACAGAAATAAAGAGGTTAATATCTTAACCCGAAACCTCCTTAAAAACCGGTAAATGCAAGCAGAATCATCACCTGCAATGAAATCGTTTACGCTATCAGCTAATTAACGCTAAACATGAGTACTGGATCTTGATTTGGTTTATATGGTTTAAATCCCTACCCATCTATGAGAACAAAATTGTCCAAGAAAGAAATCAAAGAAGTTGCTGGTCAGGCATCTAAATATTGGACCGGGATTCCAACATTGCACACACATTAAGAGATGATAGGAAATGCGGGGTGGACATTCATTCAACAACACCATTTAAGATTGCTCTTGATTCTGTTATAAAAAAAGCTTACCAATAATCAATACAAGCAATGTTTATTCAGGACAGCTGCTCGGATTGTTTTGTGATTGGTAGCGCATTGTATAGCGTGTATCGACAAAAGTATTATTACTTGTTTGAGATTCAGATCAGTGAGCACATCAGATGAAGCAGCTTCAAGAACAAGATGTATAATAACAAAAAAAAAAAAAAAAAAAAAAAAAGGCTGTATTTTTGAGGTTGCTATTACAGAGTTGAGCGGTACACCGCAACACTTTGTTTGTCAATATGATGCCAAGTACCCCTAGCTGAGCACATTAGACAATTTGGGAAGAGTGAGGGTAGGGTACACCCTTTGCTTTTAAGTCAGGGTTTGTTTGTGTCATCGAATAAGTGTTATATGTTCCAATCTGACCGCTGCTTGCTTAATTAAACCAATATTCCTGGCTGGCCAACGTTTTAAACATTACTTGGAGCATTGATATATGTTGAGCAATCACTCGATTCACAGATGAATTGACTTGTTTTAGCGCAAACTGATAAAACATTCATTAATATAGCATAGCGTTAGGTGCTTGCAAACATCCTCAAAGATGTATATGAGCTCTATAGACCTTTTATATATATATATATAACCAATTTACAGCGCCAGTGCAGAGCTTCGATTCCATCTGGCATGCTACAAAGGCAGGTTTTGAGGCTGTTCCAAGCGACAAAAGCAATCAGTTCAACTTGATATCCATGTTCGAAACTAGCAAGTTGATTTATTGTATATAACAAAAAGGGTATTAATTTATAAATGCTGATTTGATTACTGAATAACACATGGCTCCTTCTTAAGCGGCTTGCCCTTTGCTTGGACCAGTCGAGGATTTCGCCATGTTGGATCAGCTTGGACATATTCTGGCTTTGGTTTCTCTTCTTCCTTTTCTTCCTTTTCATCTTTATCTTTGCCACCGTCGCCTCCACATTCGGCCACTGCAGCCATCATATAGCCATAGGGTTGATTGAAGTTGAATACGAGATTGGGCCCCATTCCGCCAATGCCAGGATAGCCGCCGCCCATCATTGGACTGCACATTGAACTACCCATCATGGAGGGTGCCATCATGGCGCTACTGCCTCCGCCTCCATGAGCAGAAGGAGCAGGCGATCCAGCTGGTATGCCGAGCCTCTTTTTGTCAGCTTCTGTCATTGTAGGCATTTTGACTTTCTTTGGTTGAGGCACAGGTGTGTTGTCTGTCATTTTCCAGTTTCTGGCTTCAATCAAGATTTGAGAATAATGAAGAAAAAAAAAGAAAGCGAGGCAATGAGAAAGAAGGAAGAAGCTTATATAGACGATAGCAACATATTCCCTATTTTGGTTGCTTGAATGAAAACATTTCGACATTTATCTCTTGATTTTGTGCTACTGTGCATCTTGATATTGCAAACGAAGGAATACGTCACTGGTGGTAAAGTGATGAATGAGATGTGCGCGCGGCTGTTCAATGCTCTGCTGCTGCTGGAGCGTGCAATTACTCATTTCGTCTGATTACAAAAGGAAAGGGGATCTTTTTCTTTCTTCTTCTCATCTCTCTTTATTTAATTATATCACCTATTAAATAGATAATTAGATGCCTGATATCACTGTTAATGTTAGACCATCCACTGGTCAGATCTTTCAGATTTCATTTGACCCAGAAGAGACAACCGTTGAAGGACTCAAAGTACTAATTGGCGAGAAAATGGGAAATTTGGATGCTTCCAGCTTGAAATTGGTATTCTCTGGAAGAATTTTAAAGAGTGAGGACACAGCAATGGAGTGCAGTAAAGTATTGAAGACAAGGAATGACTGCTATGGATACTGATTATCATATTTTGCTAGGAATTACTGCTGGAAGCACGGTGCACGTTGTTCGTTCAGGTGGTAACAAAGCTCCTGTAGCCTCGAATGCCAGTACCAGTACCACAAACACCAACACCGCCACTACTACTCCTGCTACACTCAATACCACCTCTTCAGCTCGTCAAACATCTGATCCAATCCCTCCTATTCCACCTACACCAAGCCCTTCTACGTTGACAGGCCTCGGTGGCAATTCGTCTTCTGCCTCGCCCTTTGGAGATATGCAAATGCCCAATATGGATCCTGAAGTGATGCGTCAAATGATGGACTCGCCTTTTATGCAGAATATCATGGGAAACACAGGTTGGATTGTAGTAGGCAGTGTATTCTTCTTCTTCATAATTAACACTCGGGAATGTAGACTTTGTGCGCTCCATCATCATGAGTAATCCGCAAATGAAGGCACTGGTTGAGCAAAATCCAGAGCTAGGCCACGTAATCAATGATCCTGCCTTTCTGAGACAATCCATGGAGATGATGAGGTAAGATATAGTGCGACAACCTGTTGGATGGCTACTCATTTCAGCCCCCCATAGAAACCCTGAGTTGATGAGGGAGATGCAACGAAACAACGATCGTGCCTTGTCCAACATCGAGGCTATTCCTGGAGGATTCAACCATTTACGTAGAATGTACAATACCTTTCAAAGTCCTATGGAGTCTGCTTTGGGTCGTGGCGGTTCATCTTCGTCTGATGAAGCTAACAATCAACGTTTAGCAAGAGAGCTGAACGTGGAAAGTGTGCCTGAGAACTCTTTAAACACACAGGCTTTGCCTAATCCCTGGGCTGCTCCCGCTAATAACAACAATACCAACCGCAATGCAACTGACAATACATCCAGTCCTGCTGCTGCTCCTGCCAATCCTTTTGCTGCACTTGGTGGAGCTGGTGCCAATGGAGCTGCGAATCCTTTAGCAGGTAAATATCCACATACAAGAAGCGATTTAAATCTGCTAACAGCATCAATCTGTAGCTTTGCTTGGTGGATCTAGCGGATCCATGTTTCCTTTTGGTAATAATGAGACACAAGCACAAGCACAAGCACAAACGCAACAACCATCCACACAGCAACAACAGACACCATTTTGGGCAGATCCCAACTTTATCCAAGCCAGCTTGAGAATGCAACAAGCCATGATGGCTGGACAACAAAATACCGGCAACTCTACATCCAACACAACGAGTGCAAACAACCAACAACAGAATTTGTTACAACAAATGATGATGGGATTTCCTGCTGGCGGATTTGGGTAAGTTTGCCGTATGCAAGCATGTGTGATGCATTTGCTGATAAAAGGATGATCTAGTGGTTATAGTGGTCTTTCAGATTTCCAATCGCCACAGCAACAACAGCAGCAGCAACCATCAGAGCCACCAGAGGTTCGTTTTAGAGAACAATTAGCGCAATTGGAGGAGATGGGCTTCTCGGAAAAATCTTCGAATGTTCGTGCTTTGTTAGCTACTGGAGGAAATGTTCAAGCAGCTATTGAATATTTGTTGTCAATGTAAAAAAAAAATGTATCCTGTTACATGATATCTCTGTTGAATTCATCTACAATTTCATAATAAATACACCTCTTAATAATCATGTATATCAGATCAGAGTAACAAGAAGTGATGATAGTTTTACTGTATTTTTAGCTTTGCATCGGATACTTATCATGTAATAGTTGCTACAGAACATAAATATCTTGCTCCTAGCCATGACACACTACTGTCTATTTCTCAAACAAGAAATACCATGTTGCAGGGGGAAAATGAAGCAATACACATTTAGTACAATATGAATGTAAGGTACTTTTAACGCGGTTAGACATGCTTTAATATGACATCCTATGGAAACTATATACGCATAGCCGACAGTTAGCGTTCGATATACTTTTTCCTAAATAGGTTTGTCGCAAAGAGTGCAGCATTCATAAGAACCAGATATGACATTATCGCATACATTTTCCCAGGAGGCCGTTCTAATTGTTGCCACATCATATAGCAATTGCCATCTCAAAAAGTTTGGAACAGGCTTGTTTATGTACAAGCTACATAATATCACTTACAGATGTGATTTCATTCGATACTCCTGTAAATCCTTTACTAAATTACATGGCCAATAAGACTCTATCGTTAATCACTGGGCCACTTTTGTTAAAGTTCATAAGATGCACGATTTTGAGCAAAATCATGAAGGAAATGTACATTTAAAACTTAAAGCCCTTATAGCCTAATAGATCCTAAGCAAAGCTACTGAAATGTCTTTGTCTAACTCAAATACAATGCGTCTTTCTCTAGATATGTCCAAAAAAGGGTATCATGCAAAATCATCGATTTTTGTTCACAATCTACGTGTGATAGCAAGCAAAAAATCTGGACACGATTTTTTGGTCAGGACAAGATTGTCAATATTTCATGATAGAGTCATGCCAGAGCTTCAAGCAAAGTCTCATTTGATAGGAAATTTTTTGGTCTACAATGTTTAATAATGCTTAACAAAATGTTTTGATGACAGATACTGATTAATCTTTTGAAAACAGTCAAAAAATTGCAAAAAAATATCCCATCAAATACCAGTTGAGCAATGTACACCAAACACTTGATATAAATACCATTGTATTTTCCTTTAAATTCTCTACAAGTTTCATATAAGTTTGAAGGGGTAGTTACTATCAAGAAACGCGTAATGTTAAGGTCGATAGATTTCGGAATCCCATGGACCATCATTCAGAATATTAGAAATTGAAGCTCCGTTGGCCTCCCGCATGTGTACATGAAGATCAGGCACGACAGCAAAACACTCACATGTGCTTCAAATATGGCATCAGGGCATAGCTGAACAATACCCTAGAGAAAGGGTTCTACACTTCAATAACTAACATCACGCCTTAAACTGTCATGACTACATTAAAGCATGCTATGAGGATTACTCATCTGAGCCCATTAAGAATAATATTTTAATTGGCTCCTGTGGCCAGCAGTGCTCTTCCATTGATTACCTCTTTAAATCAAACATCAACAACATTTGCCAGATATCGCTATAGCAGTACCTATTGGTCTCTATTATCACTAACAAGGATCTAGTTGCAAATGTATAAATACTCTTCTTTTTTACTCAATTCCAGGATCTTCAGTTCATTTTATACACAAATAAAATACAGTTGATTTCACTGCAACATACTCAACAATAAAGAGTGTTGTGCCCGAAGGGCTACAAGTGTCTATAATGATTAAGTTATTCTCGATGGGCAGATATGTTTGCGTTGCGCAACAACATGGACAAGCTATGATAATTGAAGTGCATCTCGGCTATCTAGATGCTGAGGTTCACCAGATGTGATAAGCGTTGTACAAGATAAATTGCTTACTTTGACATTCAAAACTTAGTATAAATAGGATAACTCTTGTCTTCATCAATAAAACTTTAGTTTTTGTGTCTGATCTTATTCAAATAAGACTTTTCTTGTTTTTGTAATATCAAACATTTTTTATAAGCTACAAATTATAATCCTTTTATTCTTTGTGCTTGACATCAACATCTAATCTATCGATCCAGTACCTTTAATAACTTGCAATTACAATGGTTTCAATAGTAACTTTTATATATGTGTCTTTGTTCGAAATCATCTACTTATGGAATAATCTGTATTTGATTAACAACCCATCATTCCATCTAAGATCCAACTACACTATTGTTTTCTTCGCAAGGTTTTGCTATAGGAACATGCTATCGTCAGGGCTCTAGCATCAATGATATTCCAAACCTTGATTTTGGATGGCCTACACTTCAAAATTCAAGATACGTTTGTACGCCCAGAGCCTTGGATGTCAGGTAAAACAAAAGGCAAGCCAAAGAAACATATATGCTTGAAATTAATGACGGACAACGCATGCCTGGCGTGGCATTTGGTACTGCTGGGAGGATCTAGTACCGAGTGTACTATTTTACCTATAATATAAAATAACTTTCCTCACGTTATAAATTCAATAAACATCTCTCACATAAAGCTGTGTAATGGATGCCAGATTTAATAATTATTGCACCTTATGTTATTTTGAATAAAGAAAAATTTAAATTGTAACAGTTTAGACACACTTTTATTACAAACACACTATAATGTTAAATGACAGATCAATAGGAGATTAACTAGTTGTAACCCTTCGCTGTTCCAACCTCTTAGCCAATCAGATTGCTTGAAAACTCCGCTAGCCTAAAAAAAATTTGCGAGGGTTTCCCCCTGTTTTGATGTGAGGCAAAATTTTAAGCGCCGCTATAGTAGCAATATAGCCGCTGCTATCATCAAACTTCCCCCAGGTGCTAGAGCATGCCTTACTTACACCACCTAGCTTTAAATACTGGCATTGAGACCCTCAATCATCACTAAAGTAAGTAGCGATAACCAAGTGGAGGCAGCCTATCTACCTCCTAGCCTCGGATAAAGTCTTGTTGAGCTTCAGGGATAGGCACATCCACACAACGTAATAAAGATGTATGCTTCAAAAGAAACATAATAACAAAAGAAGCGAACATAATAATACTATAGGAGTATAGTAGTATATGTAGGCAAAAGAAAAAAAAAGAATGCTCACACGAAGTGAGTCAAAGGAAAGTATGTTATGAATAAAACATTAAAAATGTTCACGTTATTATATTCTTGTTATTGCAACAAAAATACATACATGAGCAATGTGCATGATAACAGTCTGATGATGTAAAAGAACACAAATGCGCACAGTTGCAGGAGCAACAGTAGCAGCAGTATAAGTGTGTAATACAACATGAAGACCAATGTTGTTTTCATGTGAAGCGACAGAGGCAATACAAACAACAATCCACGGTTATATAACAAAGTATCACAAGAAGGGCAATACAATTATATAGCAGTGTGTCATGCTTGCTATTCGTGAATACGAAGCAACAACATTGCAAGTATTTGTTGAACTGATCATATCACAGCCAACAAAAAAGAAAGAAAAGGCAATAAAGCAAACAGCATGAATGCATTATCGCGGGAAAGGAAGCAGTAGTACAAACGTTCAAAGAAGTTTATATCATTGCGACCGCAAGAAAAAAAAAGATACTTACCACTTCTTACCACAGCATCACAACCAGAGATAGACCAGAGAACCAGCATACATCAAAGATAACAGATCACAGGATAAGCAAACACCAGAGAAGAACCACCGAAGCAACGATATACCATCAAAGCAGCCACCGCCAAGTGTGCAGCCAGTGCACAGCAAAAGATCAAAAATAAATCCCTAGTAGAGTTATTCCAAGTAAAACCACGGTATAAAACGCGTTAACATTGTATCTTACGTCTATTGCATAACTGTCAATTATACTTGATTCAATTCTATTCACAAAGGTAGCGTTGTTTCATGAGTAGAGAGCTTGCGAAGTATAGTATATATATATATATATGTATATATATATATATATAAAGACGAAAAAAGAAAAGGAAAAAATGCTAATAAAAGGCTGAGGCTAAAAGACGTCACTGTTATCAATGTACCGCAAGGTAAGTATTAGAATTTGATAGCTTGCTACAAGGCAGCAAAGCAAGATATGAATTAGCAATTTTCACCATGAGGTTCGCCAACACCTTACCTATTAATCTGTTACATGTAATTAAGAGGTTATATTTGACAAGGGTAGCGAATTTACGCTTGAATTGAGCTACATGCTAAGAAAAAAAAAGGCGGTATTTTAAACTATCAATAGCCCAGCCTCCATAATACTCAAAATGAGGATTCATGGATTTCTGAAATCGTTCATCCTTAATATCATGCGATTCTGATAACAACATTGCTTTCCAGCTAAATAAAACTTGGGGTAGAACTTAAAGTAGAATCTAATGATACCAATTTTAAGTATTTTGGCCAACTTTATTAGGCTGATTTTTCATAGAATAGTTATTGCGGTTTTTTTATTGTTTTTGGCAGATTACTAGGTTTCTGTCATCAAAGTTTTACTTGAAATACTTATCATAGTGTAGAACAGACAAGAACCTATCGAATGAGCTCTTACTCAAAGAGCTAGCATGATTTTTTCATGAGGTATCGTCAATTTTGTATCTCGAGAGAAATTGCTATCTTGATTCTTGCCTTGCTATCACAGGCAAATTTTGCATAAAAATCGATGATCTTCCAAGATTACATTTTTGATCATATCTCAGGAAAGACATGTTGTATTTGAATAAAACTGTAGAATACATCCACTATGATCTGCATTGCGACAGTTCATCCAGTTACCAGATTTAGATATAAACTGTATGTACACTGGATTAGATGTACGATAATATCGGTTTATACTATAAGAAGATATGGACTTCAGATACGCTAGTACTATAAGATTCATACTATACAAGATATAGGCTATAGATGGCACCACGGACATGGATGGCGCTATAGACTTATACTTGTATTCCGACATTGACTACGGATGTTTACCATATCTGGATAGGCACCAAGATTAATGCAATATGAGCTTGTTGCTTCAGATGTGCACTTCATGATCC